CACACACACACACACACACACACACACACACACACACACACACACACACACACACAAACCTTACACTGTGTGAGCAACCTGAGGCTCCGCCAAGAAAAGTCTCCTATTAAAATCCCTGCACAGCCTCCCTTCCCTCCCTCTCCCTCCCTCTCAAGGTGATCACCAATTTGACAGCACTGAAGATAGATGAAGCAATCTAGCGGATGCCTCCCTTTCACCTAGCCCCCTTTCACTCAGATCAGTGATCAGTGAGGACAAAGGCAAGTGGTGGGAGGGTGGGAGTCAGCCCAGCGGAAATCAAGCTACTCGATCTCAATGGTGTAAAAATTAACTTTATCTCACGGCTTCTTATTTTGCAAGCACATTAAGGTAATCGAACGGTCGGGGCAGGTGAAGAAAAGAAGCAGGAGAAGCAAATGTGATACTCCCAGATGAAGATAAGTAGTAATAAAGTAAGGAGTGCAAATCTACACTTGAATTTGTTGATGTACTCAGGCAACAGAAGTAGTTTCAGTCAGTGAGTATTCAGTTGGCAAGGTTTCAGAGGCTGATTTTGGGCGGGGATTCAAAAACAGCTGACACTGATGTTAAATGATCAAAAATGACTTTAAGTTTCCTATAATATCCAAGACAAAATGTCCTCACAGTGGTGGGTTTCTATCTTCTCATAAAAACATAAAACAGACAAATAAATGGGTTGTTAACAGAAATGACAGCTGCCACAGTGACCTACCAGTCACAGTAGCCATGTTGGAACCGATTGCAAAGGACTGGGATGTGGCGCCGGCCGCATCTGATGCGCTGATCAACAGCTGGAGGTACTCCAGGGCATCAGCATACTCCCTGAGGAGGAACACACGCTGGATGTTTATTTTGCTGCCACATCAACACACAATAACGATTTCAAATCAATTATTCCCAAAGGCATTCTTGAATTATTTCAGTTTACTTTTATCAGTCCCGTATGTTATCCTTATTCTTGTTGTTGTTCCCCTCGTTTGTATCTATTCATGCCTACATTTTTTTTTTTTAAATTGTCAAATTAAACCAACCAGGACGGTGTAAAAATTTCAGTGGGGTTAACAGTATCAAAGACAGTTATTTGGAGGTGCGTTTTGTTTACTCACCCCTCGCCCTGGCTGGGACTTTTCTCTCCATGAGGCTGGGCCACACAGTACAGCGCCTTCTCCAAGAGGTGCTCTCTGAATGCCTGAGTCACCTGGGCCAGAGGATCCACTGTAAGAGTAACAGCAAACCATTATAACATGAGAAATGCATCCAGATGATTTAGCCAAGTCACTTAGGCATTATACAATACAGATCCACACAGTGTGTTAATTCTGTATACACTGACCGGTATTGCCAGCCTGGCTATAGATGCTTTCTTTGGGAGTGCTGCGAATAGCCCAATCCCCATCCACAAAGAAGCGGTGGCCTAGTGGGTGACAGAGCCACTGCATGGCTGGAGGCACACTGCCACTGGACGACAGGCATGCCTGCCGGGCACTGCTCAGGAACACACGCTATCAGAATAAAACAAAAGAACAAAGTGCTCGGTTAATTTCTGCACTCTCATTTCTTATCCAAGTGGAATTACACAGCTTATAGTTCACTAATGATGATTTGGTTCAGTGTGGTTCAGTTTATTTCAACTCCCAGGGTCATTAACAAATCAGTTCATGTTAATTAAACATGGATGACAAATGAACAGAAACGTCAACTGCAAAACTGCTTGCTGTTTAAGGGTTTTTTTTCAAACTGAGGGGACTTACAGAGGTGAAATGCAGGATCCTTGGCAGGCTGGCTTTGACCCGTAGAGCTGCGGAGACATAGACCTCAGCCAGAGTGGCTACAGGCAGACAGGAGCCAGAACACTCTGCCAGGTTCACTGCACTTAAAGCCATGTGCACTGCTGACAGGTGGCTACCATTCAATTTACCTGAATGCACAGACAGAAGACAAGAATTTATTTTTTTTTTTTTAAATAAAGAACACCGATGCAACAATCACGAAAAAGTCACAGCCACAGTTGTTTGCTAATAGTAACTTAAATAACCCTCTAAAACCTTTTATCTGCACTGAATCAATGTAAGCCGACCCTTACAGCAAAAAAAAAGGGGGGGGCTGAGCTCCTCTTTAATCAACTGAGACTTCAATATACCAACCTACTGTGTTCAGTCTACCACACTGATTTCATTTACAACCAGGGTTTTTCCCACTGACCAACCTGTCATATGAAGCTGGTGCAGGCGGTGGTAAACGAGGGCAGCGTCACGGCTGCTTTTGCATGCATCCTCCTGCAGGGGGCGGTCAGATCGCAGCCCTCCAGCTCTGGCAGCCAGCCAGCGGCCCACCCAGAGGCGCTGGAGGCAGAATCTTAGCAGAGACCACAATGCAGCACAGGCCAGGTCCAACTGGGAGGTGGGTAAGGGACGACCAAGAGCCTTTAGACAGGTCCACAGGTTCTGACTGGCCTGGGCAAAATCCCCCTGGGAAGGGTAAAAGAGACTGGTGATGACCCACAGTAGGTCACTAAAGACTTAAAAGAATAAAAAAATATAAGAACATTCGTCTTCCTTTTTGAATGAAATGAAAATCAAATATCAATACAAAAATCATACTCTAGCTAGGTCCAGGTCAGCCTGCTTGCGGTGCCTCCAGAACAAAACAGAGGATCCAGAGTGTGGTCTGGTTACAGGTTCTCCATACACCAGCAGACGGATCAGAACTCCAGACACCAGAATACCATTCAGTAACCACACAAGTATAGTTGGTAGCATCCAGTCCATCCAGCCCCATGAGTCCGCTATGGATGACAAACATTTTTGTCATTTTACAGTAAAAAATTTTATTTCAGAAAACATTACTTGACATTGTAGCCCTACAAGCCCTACCCTCCCAGCATTTATCCCTCCATACCTGCAATATCCACACCCAGAACGCTCCTGCCTGCGTGATGGGTGGTGGTGTCTGCGGCTAAGCTGCTGCCGGATGAACACAGCAGAGCGGCCAGAGGGTTGACGGAGAGGAAAAGGAAGGTGAAGGCACACAGCGCCATGCGGGATCGGTCTAACATGCCGCCAGCGCTGCTGCCTGCTGTCGATCTGTCCAACACACCCACACTGGGCTGGCACATAGAAGAGAAACCAGAAAAATAAACTTATGTTAAAACACTTGTGATACAAAAACCCTTAATTTACGCATCATCATCAATGAGACGTAAAGAGAAGGCAAGGACAATAACTAAATTTACTTCATTTTTACTATGTATGCACAGAGCTACCATACTATCATTTATAGTAATGCCATAAAACAGCCTTTCAGCACATCAGATTATGGCATTAAGGTAATTAAGTGACCTTATAATACACGAGCAAGAGGGGAATCAATGTCCTCCTTGTGGACATTTCAACAGGTTGCTGGGATAAAACATGGACCCCTCATCTAATATAAAGCACTAAATATCAACCTCTACTATTAAGACTGCAGTTTAGCAGTTTCACTGAGAGCTGCATACCTTGGTGTCTTCCACCATCGGGCTGTCAGGCTCTGAGTCACTGCCACAGTGTGAGAAAGGCGTCGGGGAGCCCACGTCAGAAGCTGGTGGGGTGGGCAGCTCGCTCTTCACATCAGACTGTCCATCTACCTCCATGGCAACCAGGTCCTTGAGAGACTCTGAAGAAAGAACAAGGGAAAGGAGCGAACGAGGAGAGCAGTTAGAGGGTCAATCAACAGTACAAAAGCAGAGACATCTTCAACCTTAACTTCGACTCACTCAGAAGCTATCGAAGACCACTTTCACTTTTTTCCTTTTAGGGTAACAGCAGCTACCAATAGACCTCATCACAAAAGGTCAACTGAATGACTTACTTTGAAGGAATTGAAATAAACTGTAGAGAAACTGTTAAGGAATAAAGACGACAAAAAGGCTTTAAGCACATACTGTTTTTCTGGGCTGCCATTTTAAGAGCCATGTTCTCCTGTTTGAGTTTCTGGTTAGCCTGCTGCAGGTAACGAATGTAGTCAATGGCCTTTCTCAGCACTGCAGACTTGTTGAGCTAAGAAAAAAAGGAAAAAAAATGAGATTGATTGAATCCCAGTTCTATTCTAGACCTCTAGTTTTTGAATTAGCAAAAATGACCAAAGAAAAACATGACGTCATAACGGATCAGATCATTTAACGTTAGGAAAAAACAGCAGAGAGTTTGTAGTAATTTAGATATGATTATAAATATGTTTAATAATCTCTCTTTCTTACCTTGGCCTCAGTACCAGCCACCAGGTCTTTGAGCTCCACAATTTTGTCATTGATGGAGGAGCGGTAGCGCTTCTCGATGGCGTTGTGAGCGGTGCGTTTCTCCCCCTTGTGGGGCTGGCCGGCCGGCTTACCGCTGATGGCGATGCGGTTGATTGGCAGCTTTTCAGCATCCACCATGACTGGCACCGTGGTCAGGATGGTGCCACCGCCCATAAAGGCCTGTGGAGGTGAACATTAATCACATTCTTACCGTTCTTTGGTAATTAAGATAAGTAATTTAACATCTGAACACTTTGTTTCTTTAATTCATCAGTGATTTAATTTGTGAACAATTATTCTCATGGTACTTCTCTCTTACAAGTTAATTTACATGCACCAGAATATTTGACCATCAGAGTTGGGATCTTGACAATCCCTGCTACTAATTGCTTATAATGGCACGGATGTAAATAAGTGAAAAAACAGCTTCAATTTTACTTTTAAAGCCATTTAAGTTTGTTAGGGAAATAAGAGACAATGCCTTCAACAAAGTGCATTGTATGATCTTAGCACTGAGTTCAAGTTGCACACAAGGTGCCTACCTGCAGTGAAGTGCTCTGCACTGGGGTGGTGGTGGCCAGGGATGTGGGAGAAGCCACAGTAGTGACCATGCAGGGGTCATGCTTCAGAGTGGTCAGCAGCAGAGACTCAGCCTTGATGAACTGAGGCTGCAGCAACACCTGAGAAACACACAGAACATATACATGTATAAACATACACAGTTCTGCTTTTTAATTGCATAATACAATAACAAGACTATGCTGGATTTATGACCTTCATTCAAGCTCATTCACATGTCAGCCTCACACACACACACACACACACACACACACACACACACACACACACACTTACAGGTACTTGCTGTACGTGGGGTGCGATGGTTTGAGCGGGCGGGCTTGCTGACGTGGCGATCAGAGACGAGGTGGTCGTCAGCCCTTGGATCTGAGTCTGGATGGTCACTGGCTGAACACATGGAGGTGAGGATGACAAAGTGGTGGCAGGTTGGCTCACGCTTCCGGTGCTGCCAGCTGGAAAATTGTTATGCAACAGATATTTTTTCAGCCTTTACTAACGCATGAATGAAATATCCACGACACCAAAGACAACAATGTCATTCTGGGCTTTTTTTTGCAGCTGCAAGTTCAACAGAAATTTCTACAGTGCATGCGCTGATGTGGAAGTTTGTGGAATATTTTTGTCATTTTTAAATTTTCTGCACCAACATTTGTATCAAGCCTGAATTGGTACTATGACAAAAAAACAAACAAAAAAAAACAGTATTTTGGTATTGGCCAATGAATGTTCAAAAATAGCAGATACTTCTATTGGTTTAAAAAATTATTGGTTAGTGTTACAAATCACACTGAGTGAGCCATTCTGTGTGGGTTTGTAGGCCAATAGGTGAATCATTAGAAATAAGTCAAAGCAAAATTCAGTGAGTCACATTATATTTCTTATCAGCTCCAACTGGGCTAGTGATTACAATCACCTCTCAGTACAAGGGTCGGTGAATTTTCTCAAGGAGTAATAAAAATGTATTGCTTCCACGAAAATTCAGAGGCATTCACTGCTTTTCTTCCACTAAAACAAATGGCAACATTCATGTGTCAGAGTTTTCAGTGGAGATGGCTGCTGCCCGTCTCTGATTTTCCAGCTATGAACAAATACAGATTTGCACATATAACACAATACATACTGTGTACACATGCTGCCGTGTACATGTAGAATGGGTGTTGCCCAGACAAAGCATTTTCATTTAGCTCACCAACTCTCACGCTGCTGAGCAAAGTCTATTAGATTAGGACTTGGACATGAGATCAGCTGAGGTTGAATAACCTAGTGTCCTAGCTTGGGAAATGTAATACACACGAAGAGCCACCTTGCCGGACACTAGAGTTTCATTTGTGAGAGATTTCTGAAGCCAGACATGCATGAAAACACAAATCTGCTTTAAACTACACTGGCCCTGGTGTTGTAATCCATTAAACACTATTTTAGTTTGAAAGTGTGCACAGAAGGCAGCCCTCAAAATTTAAACCTGTTAACATTTAGCAGTGTGAAGGAAAGAAGATAAACATTTGGTGGAATCATCATTTTTAAAATGTCAATATTACACAACATCTATTTACACAGCAAAGTACATTCTATATGCCAATTTTTGATCCTGATTTCTGACATATCCTTGCTTTTTTGACTAGATGCTGTTCTACATTCCTGCATTTTTTACTCTATGTCAGTACGTGATTGTAAGGTTGGAGCATAACACTGTGAACTAAAAGGTTTGCTTGTGTGCCCTGTGCCATTATAAAGAGCATAGGAGTGTTCAACTTGCATCTAAAGATTCAATACCACAGCAATGCATGCAGGGAAATACACTATACAAATATTGTTGAGAGGGACTCACAACAAAATATAAATTACTTTGAGCACAGCAGCAAACACAAACACATTTCAGCCCTTTGCCTTCCTCAGCGTTTCTGAGACACACAAGTGTGCGACTCTTATTAAACAGCAGTCAGGGACCTGTTGGTGATAAATAACCAGCTAATACAAATCATTGAAACATATATTTGTCGTATATTAATGTTATGTATTATATTAATGATTAATAATATTACAGCTCATATTTGCTTAAAAATGTGGCATTAATGTGTGTGATTTTCACATTGCGAATATCTGCTACAAAGCATCTGCAGCGTTTAGAGAGTATAAAAATTTGCCAACTGGTATCAAATTTAAAACCCATAGTAAACAAAGTCATCAGATTTAGCCTTTTTTCTGGTTGAACATTCCTACTAAAAGATGTTAAAAAATATGTGAAAAGATTAAGATAAATCGCGAAAGGATGCTGACTGTTCAAAGACAACTGCATTCAGTGACGCAGACAGAAAAAATAATAGAAACTGGATTTATCCAATGCAAAGCCAAGACACCTGTCATAGCATAACAAAAGTAAGACTACAATAAACTGATATCACAATACATTTTAAAGCCTTTAACTTGGATCATTTACCCTAAAGAATTTTCAGATTTTTCTGTTGATTCCCTGTACTATCCAACTGACAAAAAAGTAGCAACAATGGACACTGGAATCATTACAAACAACAAAGAGTTCTTACCTGTGTAGCTGTTCTGGCTGCTGTAGTTGGTCCGGGCTTGTTGGGACTGAGCCTGGGCCTGAAGTTGTGTCTGTGTCTGTGTCTGTGTCTGTGTCTGGGGCTGTGTCTGTGTCTGTGTCTGGGTCTGGGGCTGGGGCTGGGTCTGGGGCTGGGTCTGGGTCTGGGTCTGGGGCTGGGTCTGGGGCTGGGGCTGAAGTGGAGTCTGGGGTGTAGGCGAGGTGAAGAGAGCCTGGGGCGTGGAGCTGAACACTGGGCTCGGTCCTGGTGATCCGTGAGGTGAAGCCGCCTGTGCTGGGGCAGATGGGCTGAGAATGGGTTGGGGCAGTTCCACCTGTGGCTGTCTGAGTGTCTGAGCCACCTGTGGGGAGGCTGGCTGCTGCTGCTGCTGCTGCTGCCGCGGGGTGGAGTTGGGTACCTGGGCCAGAGGGGACTGCTGGAAAGTCGGAGGCTGGAAGGCCTTGTCTGGGGTGGAGGAGCTACGGGTGATGGGAGGGCCCAGGAGGGCATCCAGGTGGGGGCTACTGCTTAGGATGGAAGAGGAAGATGAAGATGGAGGTGTGGTAGTGGTGGTTGGAGGGGCAGCTGAAACAATGGACTGGGTCAAACCCGGAAGCTCTTGGGTGGGTGGGGGCCCTGTGTATGGAGGGTTATCAAAAAGTCCTCCAAACTCCATGTCCTGGTTGTTGATGAGCTGTAGCATATCTGAAGAGGAAGAGAAATCAGAACCACCGTCACTGTTATTGACCAAGAAGGAATATACATAAGATTTTGCCATGATGACCCTAGTGCACACACACAGCCTGCAGCATGGGATAAGAATGCACCATTCTGCCCCTGATTGCTAATGTGTATAAACGATGTCAAACTTTAATAAAAAAGAATTCAGAATTTGTTTTGGATACTGTTTATGTTTTGGCAAATGATTGTTTGTGGCAATTTAAAACTAAAAATAAAGGCAGTTTGTGTGTTTGTTTGTTTTTTTCACACACAAAAAAAGAACCAGGATTCAGTAAAAACCAAAACTTGATCTGAATGGATAAACTGATATACACTATCCACAGTGCATGCTGACACACAGTAAAAACACAACAAAGCTGTGCATATGTGACAAGCTGTTATGGAAAACACACTAAGCACCAGGTACACAAACTGTAGACTGGACATTGTTCATTTAATGTTCACCTTCCAATGTGCAGTCAGTCTATTTATAGGATTTCTGCAGCTGTGGGGAAAAGTACTACAGAGGGTGAAAGACGGCCGTGATAAACATATGAAAGTAATTTGATTATGATTAGGATGATCTGAGCATAAAAGATCTAAAATATTCCCAAAATGTTTCTTGTTTTTTCTTCCCCACACAAACTAAAATTGATATAAGAAGAACAAAGTTCAAAATAAATGTGACAAAATTTTGCTCATTGGTTTATTCAGGACACTGTACAGTATTGTAGTCTGAAAAGATGGCAAATTAACTTTAAAGTCTCTCACTTTGACCTGACAAAGCTCAACAGGAGTATATTGCAAAAGAAACCCTGACATTCTGAGTGTATGTTGTGTCTGCAGTGAAAGGCAGCAGCCTGGATTTGTAAACCAGTGTTTTTGTATGAGGTGATCGCTCTTGACCAATCAGAGCGCGTCTCGGGGACTTGCTATGCCGATCAGCCCAAGACAGGAAAGAGAGGCAGCGCTGTCTGTAGCTTCACACGAGGTTACCATCGAGCAGCATCACCGAGGGTTACTGTCGGTCAAATGTAGGAAGATGGCGAGAACGGCTGCAGGATGTGCTTTATCGGCTACTGTTTACGCAGTGCAGCTTATCACAACTATATATTGGCTATCACCTTAAACATATATTGACAGTTACTGGAGAAATTCCCGAAAACAGAATTTACACCACTGATGTGTGTCCAATTCACTAAGGTTTCCTGCGCCTTTTATTTCTTTACTCAACAGTATATCAATACAAGCACAAAGAAGCAAGCGTTTGCAAGAAAACAATAAAAAAAAGGACAAAAGGTGTCACCAGGGCACACGGTTATATCAATATATTATCTGATCTATTATTTCTGACAAAAAATAATAAATAAGATTTGTGTGCACGGTCAACTGAGGCACGATGAACCCAGCAAAGAGGAATGAACGACAGTAACCCCTGTCTGTGGAGCAAGCTGGGGGCGGGGCGCACTCGCCACCATTTAGTAGCACGTTAGCTTCCCCTATTAGCCTATTAAACTCACTCTAAAAACCAGTTGGTCTTATTGTACAAATACGATTGTGGCAGTGAGTTCTGAGTTAAAGAAACAACACTGTGGACTTCTAATAAAACCATCACAAACCTCTGAAGTATTCTAGCTAGCTAAATGGTTACTGTAAGCGAGTCTAACTAATGATGGCTGATGAAAGGTACGCTGTAAGCTAAAGCCAGTAAATTGGTCACTGCCAGTGCTATTTGTTGGTGTACATGAGGTAAACATTAGATGTAGAACACAGGAGACAAGTCAAATTGAAAAGTGAAACACACAGGCAGTAACAAGCAGCGTTACTGCCGTTTAGCAAACGTTAAACGTGACTAGGTTAGCTAACAGCCACCGATGTATTTTCTTACCATCAATGTCGCTTAACAGGGCCGTGTCAATATCGCTGGGGTCATTCAGCGACAGTGTTGGATCCAGATTATCCAACGAGGGATCGTCAAAGGATAGGCTATTCATCTTTACTCTTGTGTCTGTCTTTTCTGTGTAGTCTGACTGGCTGTCGAATCGCTCGGAAGGGGAAAAAATCGGACACCTATCACGTCCCTACATTTGCCAAAGCGCCAGGTGCCAAGTGTACCTGAAACACGCGCAGAGGGAGCTGCAACTTTCTACCGATGTGTCAACTAACTACTCACTCCTACCGCCATGGTCGCAAAGGGAAACTTGTCAAACCAAGCCAAACACTGAGGCTCATTCAGTAATCACTAACGTGCTTACGGCGGCGGCGGCTGAACGAACCCACCCACCCGACGACGATTGACAGGGGCAACAGCCAATCACCGCCTTTAAACTGGATTTCCCACGTCCTTGTTTCTTGGGGTTGTTTTGATTGTCTGACTGAAGAGGTGACAGCATGTGGAGCGTATGGCCATAATTTTGTTTGACGATATACAAACAGACATGATAATTAATGTAGTAGACAAATTGATATAATGGATTAAGCATACATTTATGGAGCCAACTGAAAAGTACCACAAAACGTATCTATCTAGTAAGCACAATAGTAATAGGTTATATAAAACAGCTATAACAGTGCTGTTTATTTCAATCCTGTTCGGCCACATTCATATCAATCATATATTTCAACAAACTGTGTTTTTTATTGAGGGAAACAGCGTGGATGTGTTTATTGTGGGCTTGCCCCCAACAGCCAATCAGAGCCGCGCGGGCGTGGGCAACTGAAAGTAAAGTTTGTTTGACTCGAAGCCGCGGCTCCTCCTGTAGAACCAGAGAAATCATCCAATGGGAAGCTCAGGAACCGAGTGGGGTGATCTGACGTCACATCTCTGGGTCTAGAGATTACATCATGTGTTTCTCTCCTGAAAGTGTGGTGGCAGCAACAGGGAGGTAATCTGGAAGGATGTCGGTGGGGAAAAAGAATTAAAAAATGAGGCAAATTTTAACTTTTGGCCGATGAATCCCCACCACCAAAAAATAAAATAAAATTTCCTCAGTACAGTTACATTGAATTTACTTCAGCAAAGTAACCTTCTTCAGATAAACGACACACTTGCTATTAATGTCAAACATGCGCAAAGCATTTTTTTTTTCAGATCAGCATCAGCTAAAATAAAACTATAATTTGATCACAGTGTTGCATGAACACAAAGAGGGAGCCCCACAAAGGCATGGTGGGGAAGTAGGTCAGTGACCTAGAGTAGCGCACAAGTTGTACTAGAGGAGTGGGGTAATATTAAAAGCCTGTCCGCAAGCCTGGTAATGATGGTGATGGTCTGTGTTTGTATAATGGTGCATGTCTTATTCACTTGCTTGGTCGATTTTGGAAACCTGTTGGTGATGCACAACAGGTGACTGAAAGAAGCAGAAATTTGGAACATCCATAAAAACTGTGTGATCGTAGTTTGTTTACATTCTACGCGTGCTAAGCTGTTGGAGCAGAATGGATGAAGTGCCCATTAACCACCATATGGGAGGGGGTGAGAGGCTCATGTGACAGTGATTGGCCAGTACAGTGCAAGATTGAGACCCGGTTGCATCAGCACCTGCATGAAGAAGAAGGAGCAAGACATTGTCACACAATCCTTGAATCTAAAATAACCACAAACAGTTGTGAGGTAGAGGTCACACATTGCTAGTGTTTTATTGGGCAGTTACATACGTGCATTAGGTCAAACAAAAATCTGACCATTAGTAGTAATGGCAGCAGATGGCACAGCCAAAAACAGACATGAGACCCACCAACAGAAAACAAGCCTGTGTCCACAATGTTTTCACTAAACACTCTGTCTCCCCAGTATTAAAAGACATTCAGTAACCATTTTGAGATAGCCACAATTTCGAGGAATACATGTTGCTGTCAAGACTTAAGCTTCATAAAAGCAAGTAACACAATAAACTCTGTTACAGATCCAGAGATAGTTAACACACAAACACAGAAAAAAATTCCCTTTTAAAAGGATCTCCTGTTACATTTTAGTAATAGTCTTTGTTCAGCCTGCATCGTTAAAGTTTTTCAAAAAATGACACAATGGTTGATTGTAAATTTAATGCTATTATCTCTTATCTGGTAACCACATTGAACCTATGTAACCATATGTAACCATACTGCATTAAAGAAAGTTAAAGCATTAAACATGAATTTTATTATTATTACTATTATACATTTTTAAAAATATTTAATCATAATGATTACGTAGACATAATATTTCCCTCCAGTGGAAGGACTACACTGTAAGTAAGTTTGATTAGGCTTTTACAACTTGCGTTTCAAATGGTCTGCCTCTGATTGACAAGGCTTTTGGTCTTAAATGGATTGAATGGGGAAAAAAAAAGAATCTTTTAAGAGCAATGTTAAAACAAAGCAGAGCATCAGCAAAAGATCTGGAATGAAGACAGGATTGCTTTTTACCTCAAAATGTGATCTTAAGTACACCAAAGGCAAACTCCAATCAGAGCTACTTTGCTTAAATCAGTCAATCACAGAAATCCTTGGCAGCTGCTCCAACAAGAGCAGATGGATCATAGCAGAATGAACACACACTGAGAATGAAAATATGTCTTTGACTGTGCAAATCAAAGAAAGTACAACTGTGTTTGTTTGCTGCATGCTTCAGCCTGAACTACAAAAAGATGCAGTGGTACAAGGATACAAACGTTTTTTTTTCTTACATGATCTATAAAAATACAATCAGGGGATCAAATAATACATAAACCTCTCTGCCTTCTGGATATCACTATGAGCCAATACATTTTAACCAGATACAGAAACTAAAATTCCTGTATTTTGAGGTATATAGATAACATAGTATAGAGTAAGTGAAGATCTACCTATATGAATAAATCCTTTACAACAGCGCATTATTGTTAGATATATTTTGCGTCTTATAGTCAATTATGATGCTAACGCTAAGTCGTGCTGATAATTTTAATGCCACATTTTATCTTGCAACTTTATGCAATTTCTAATACTCTTAAAAGGTTTTACAATCATAAATTTGACAGTTCATCCATCCACTTCTGTGTGAACAAGCGCTGCAATTACAGTTAGAAAAGTTATGTGCAAAATGAAGTCAATCTAAAGACTATTTCCCATCCCCTAGAAAAATAGTAACCATCTTGTAAACACAAAGGACAAAATACAGATTTGTTTTTGCTTCAAAGTGCACAGACATTATAGCAGGGGAAGGAAAATGTTCATGATCCCTTAACATTTACAACACATGAATGTAACTATTGTTTGACAGGTAACATTAAGTGCTAGTTGGTCATTAAAGCCTTCAGTCTTTGGAATGGCTAAACGTGTTTGCAGCTGATTAAGATCATATTCCTCTCGGTTATTTTGCTGAAGCTTTTCAGAGGACTGAAAAGGTTGATGGGAAATATTCCATGGGCATGTTCCTTCCCCTCAGCCATTCGAAATACATAGCAGAGAATCTAAACTAGTGCTTTTTAGTTTTTTTTGTTATTCCCTTTGGTTAAAGGAATGCTGGCATACACTCATCACAATTAGCAATGATTTAGCTGTTATATTCCCAGTTAGCAAAATTTGCCTGCTAACATAGCTCTTTTCTCTACACTGCTTGAGGCAAACTGGGTAATAACACACATAGCTATTTCACACACATCAGTTTTAAAAGCATGACTAGAACTTTAACTGGAGTACTTGTAAAAAAAAAAAAAAAAAAAAAAAAGGAAAAAAAAAAGAAAAGAAATGCATGAACCCACCATAACCACAGCGCTAGTACATAGTACAGAACAAACCATTAAAACAATAAATGCATAAATTAGCAATTAGCTTAATGAAATAAAACAGCACAATATTGTCCTAATTGTATGCTTTCATATTGACTCAATGCATGGACCTGCAGTGAGATGTTCAATGAATCTCGCAGTAATATACCACATTTTTAAACCACATCAGACAAGTTAGGTTGTCTTCCTTTGGTGGAGTTTCACAAATGAGATGCAGGGCTGCGAGTAGTACATCCCACACTAACAGATTAATACATCCATATATAGTTTAATGTAACACAGTAGTGCATTGTACACATGTTGGACCTCTGAGCAACACTGGCATGAGAATGACTTGCTGTAACACTGCCAGTCAGCGCTGAAATGGGAATGGAATGACTGTTTGGGGGGAATCATGTAGGGTGAGGACCTTTAGATGCACTGGAGAGACATCAAGGTTCTCTGACAACAGTCTACAAGGCAAAGAGGGCATCTTCTGTCCGTTCAGCCTTCTTGTGGGAGCCACCTGGGGCTCGGGCTGGGTGAGCGGGGTTAGCTCCGGGGGGAGATGGTAGGGTGTCTGCCACCTTCGCTCGCTCCTCCAGGAACTTATCAAACTCTGGAATAAACAAATTGATTTGTCTCAAAGTCATGTACAGTTGAAGGCTCATCATTGTTATTTAAATGAATTAGTGGAGGGGAGAAAACTAATACAACCTCCCAAACATCTGAGCTTGTGGAACATATGTAATTGTTTACATTAATTGTGAGTCTGTACCTTCACTCGTCACCCCCTCCTCGGCAGCATCCCCTTTCTATTAAGAGGAAAAAAGTCATCAGATAATATTCACATTTTGACAGAAACGATAATTAATTGAGTTGTCTATTTCATAAACCTTGGTATACCGTGGGCAATACAATATGCCGATACACAAACGCATCATACAACTCAAATGCCTGTAAAGTTCACACAAACTGAGACAAATCCATACAAGCCGCTCATGAAGGATCCGTCGATCATGCATCCTTCATACTCTTTTTATAGATGGATGCAAAAAGAAGCCTTCTTGAGCCCAACTCCACAACCTTCACATGCATATGTTAAGTAAGATCATATCATCCGTTTAAACTTGACTATCATTAGTGCCATGTTAGCGTATGAAAGCCAGACCTCACAGTAAACTGTTATATGTCAATCACTGGTGGAAACAAATTAGATAACAGTGAAGGAAAGGACGTGATGTTAAAGAAAACTAAACTTTAATGAATCCAGTAATACGAGATGGATGGATGAAATGTGCTATTTAAGAAAACAAAACAAAACAACAACAAAAAAAACCCCAACATACAAAAAAAAAAAAAAAAAAAAAAAAAAAAAAAAAAAAAAAAAAAAAACAGGGTAGGAGAGAAAGAGGAAGAAGGGAAGAAGATATAAATCAAGGTAAAGAAGTCTCACCACGTCGGCACACAGCCACTCCTCTATGTCATCCATGACAGAGGACTGCGATACGGGGATCTATGGAGCAAAGCCATGGACAAACCACGGGGCAGCACCAAAGCCACACAACAGACACCCAACCCGACAAGAAAAACAAAAATTGTAACACACACACAGACACACAGACGCACACACACACAGACGCACACACACACACAAATAACAATAAAATAGGAATCACCAAAAGTTCAGTAGGGAAGATGATAAAAATAAAACAAATCAAAAATGAGAACAAAAAGAAAAATTTGCTCTGCCAGCACTCAACCCCTCTCGACTCTGTGCTCTTACTGTTTTATCAAGTGCATCAATCTGCTGCTCAGCTGTCTTCTATGAGAGCAGGAGTTCCCAGGTTGTGTATTGTTCTCATTAGTTCTGTAGAGCTGACATGGCTTAACAGCTGCCGACTAATGTCACACAGCAGCGTTAATTATTCCACATCATTAGTTAATTAGCAAATCGCTAGAATGTGATTAAGAGATTGATTGGATGGGAAAAGCTGAAAGCACAGGGACCGTTGAGAGGCAGGGCAATCCCACGGCAAACACATACTGTACGTGGAGCACACACACATACACACACACAAACCACACAGGGCGCACGGAGCATGAGCATTGCTGCATGGCTTGCAGTGCCTGTGATGATGGAAGTCATGTTAGTGTGGACAGTGCGCCTTTGTGTTTATGTTGGTGTTGGACATCCAACGATCAGGACTGCTCAGAAAGGGAAAAGGGGAACTTTTATCGTGATTTAAGAAACTTTATGTCCATCCATAATCAGTAACAATTACTTGTATGCTTTTTGTTTACAAAAGCAGAGAAGCAAGGAAGTTCATACTTGGGCTGTCACAATATCAGATTTTCACTACTTGTTTATCGTGGCCGATAATGATATTATTGCAATATCTCTAGAAAATTAAAATAATAATGCTATTAGTCAAATTCATCTTCAACTTTGTTTATTGTGTGTTTTGCCCCTCAAATATGAGTGTAGGGAGGTGGAGAGAGACTGTACAAAAATGTACAAAAAGAACAATTACATTTAGGATAGTGAAAAGGCAACCAGATGAACTGACAAATAAAAGATCCACAAGGCCTAACATCTGCCATCATGATATTATCATATGTGCATTGTTAACACAATATCGACATTGCATTTTTTTAAATATCAGGACTATCGTCAACGCTGGTATATCACAACACCCCTAGTTCATACAAAATTTTTAAAAGTCTAGTTCTCCACAACCTTTCACTGCCTGTTTAATGAACTAAAGTCCACTGTTGATGTTGACCTGATATCATAGTTGAATAGAGAGAACAAGAACCCTTTTCCTGAGGCCCTGTTATACACTAGAAAAACACTGGTGGGGCTTTCCTCATGAGATCACAGTTGACGCAGTGAAGGAGCAGAGCAAATCAAAAGACAGGCCAAGGCAGTGGGGCAGTGAAAGTCATTCACAGGAAAAAAAAGCTGTGAGTAAATGTAGAAAAGTACACAATAGGAAGTCTGTCCCTATCACGACTCACAGGAATTACACTGATAAAAGTTCAAAGTGTAATCCTTTATACTCAAGCATTCACAGTCATACCAGCAACTGCATTGTTATACTGTTACAAACATTACATCTAGTGGTTCATCTGTTAGTTGATCTATTTCTGTTTAGAGTGAGACATGTGAGGTGGTCATTAATAACATCTAATGTATTATCTAAGATCCACAGACCGTTAGAGAACAGCTGACAAATACTCACGACTACACAGCAAACATTCATTCTCATACTTTTTAATCCCATATTATCACTCCTTTAACACTGTTCATCATTGTTGATATGACTTTGCTGTGTAGCACAAGTATCTGTCCTCCTCTGCAGTTTTAATGTGACTGTTTAGAGATGGATCTAGCTGATGGATGCTCCTGGGGACCAGTTAGACTCATTATTTCATCCATAAAGACGATAGCTTCAGGTGGAAAGCATCAGTAATGGGTAGTGTTTAGTGCCCAAGTCAATAAAATACAATAGAGGTGAGCAATATGAATAAAATTTTATATTACCGAATATCATGATAGTTCATTTTCTGGAGATTCAACTTTTTGTAAATGAAAAAAAAAAAAACAATGCAGATGAAAGTCTGCTTTTGGCTTATCCGGTAAATGAAATACTTGACAAATCAAGGTACTTCATCAGGAAATTCAGTATTGCCATAAAGCTGTTCTGTTTTTTGTTTTTTCTGTAGTACCTTAATACAACCAATAAAACAAATATTAAATAGATGGATACCTCAGGAGAAACAGCACAGTGAGATTAGAACCAGTTGACAAATCTCAAACATCTCACAGTACTTTCATATTGCCCAACACTAGAGTATAACATCTGTACTAGATATGGAGGTGGATGCTCTTAAGGAGAAAAACTTTAATTGTTCTGGTCCTCTTTGAGCATTCCAGGACATAGCAGTGAGATGAGGCTGAAAATGAAGTGCAGCTTATGAGGACTACGGATGATGCCGGAGAAAGTTGAGAGCAAGGGTGACAGTGGACATGAGGGAGGGGTAGGAGGACACACTGAGGATGGAGTCCTCACCATTCCTTGGGTAATAAGCCAGCTGTCTATGGGCAGCTCCTGATCTGCTGGGTTATCATCCCCTTTTACCCTCAGCTGAATCAACAACAGAACAACACCTTACACAAGAGAAGAGAGGTAGCAGGCCCTCACCACAGCATAGCATACAGTGCAGAGAGAGAGACAGAGGAGAAGTCAAATATGCAAGAGACGATTTTCATTTAAAGAGAAAAAATAAAGAGAAGAAAGAAAATGGCGAAAGGTTCATTCCATAAAGATGAAAATGACAAAAATAAAAAGGGGAAAAAAGACTTTGAACTCCCTCAAGTAAAAGTACTGTAGGAGAAACAGGGCACCTGAGGTAACTAAAAAAGGGATGGTATGCGCAATCACCGCTGTGTGTGTGTGCTTGTGTGTGTCTTTATGTGTGTGTGTATGTGTGTATGTGTATGTGTGTGTGTGTGTGTGTGTGTATGTGTGTGTGTGTGTGTGTGTGCACGTGTGTGTATGGCAGTTCAAGTTTCAGAATCATCTGTGTACCTAGTGATAACCATGCAAATATATTGCAAAGTGTGTTCAGACAGGGAGAATGGCTGAGAATATCTTGAAACTAGCATGTGACTTCTGTTTGATTTTCTGTGCAAACTGTGAAGATGAACAGAAACTGGACTATGAAAGAGCTGATATCCAATTTGCAAAACCTGATTCCATGTTTTTTTAATGAACTACTGAGACTAATGTTTGCCAGGATAAATGCAAAAAGTGACAACAGTTTGGATATAGAAACTCAAGTTAAGATATTTTGCACCCATTTTGAGTACCTTCTCAACAAACTCATATCCGTGCTTATTACCTAAACTGCTACCAAAAGTGATAGATTTATTTTAGCTGGTCAAAGCTAAAAATAGTAAATCCACAAACCTACAACTCTGTTTGGTCAAAGTTCAAGTATCACTTCACACAAGACAAATATCACTGTAAACCCATCACATGCAGGGAGTGACCGAGAGCTGAGGACAGACTGGAACAGGAAGCCCTATCAGCCATGTTAAAAACACAGCACCTACACTCCATACACTTGTATGGGTGAAAGCTGTATTCAACGACATGCTTCAGTGTACTCACGCCTCCTGTGTTCTGCTGTCTCACATCCAAAGCTGAGGCCAGGCCGCCCAGAGCCTGAGGGTCCTCATACTTTACACTGTGAGCAAAAACATAAACATAAACAAACATAAAAAGATATAGCACTGAAGCAGCACAATGAAAACTTAAAAACACCAACACAAATTTTAATTATATTTTCATTAATTAGAAAATTTACATATTTTTTTATTAATACTTATTTTCATTAGGGGCCTTTTGTTATTTTAGTTCATACTGCCTCAAGAGTGGAGAAAGGAAAGGAATTGTGTTGAGAATAAGGAGAGTGAAATGCAATAAAAGGTGCCCGATTCAAACCGGGGATGTTGGGAGTTATGTGGGTGAGAACCCTGTGCCCCCAGTCACCACAACAGATTAACATCCTCACTCCTGAACATATTCAAAGGTCATTCTAGGAAGTAATAAAGGAGGAACTACCTCACTTAAGAAGGTTGTAACGGCAGGTTAAGGGATAGTGGGCATATCAAAGAAAAAAGAAAAAAATGTGTACACCATTACCATCACATCTTGGAGCAGACAGTGTAAAAGTGCCCAAGGGTGGATTATATTTCAAATATTAAAGGTGGTTATGAATAGCTATTTAATTAAAATAAATGTCACCCTGGATAACAACATGAGAGGACCTGGGCTGCCCCAGAAGCAAAATGAAACCCAGACCTACTTTTTGCGTTGTTCAGCCAGAGAGCTAGTCCTGGTCTGGGCAAACATGTCAAAGTCATCCTGGTTGCGGCCTGAAAGAGACGACAGGGTGCCGGTAACGCTGTCTGAACCTACATCTGGCGTGAGATAATGACCGAGCAGAAAAAGGAAAGGAAGATTCAAAAATGGAGACAGAAAGATCTTAAGAAACATAACAAAAGAAGTGAAAAAACGTATGCAATGCAGATTTATAGTCTTCATAATCACAGATATCTTACACTTCACAATAATTCTGTTCAGCATGGTGAGGCTGCCTCTACTCCGGTAAAATAAAGAGTTGCAATACATCTAAGCTTTACCCAGAATTCCACAGCATGCAAGGGCTTCCTAGAAACCACCAGGGGAGCTAGCAGTAGTAGCAGTGAATTATGTCGCTAGGCTTATTTCCCATTAGCAGCCAGATTATGAGCCTTTTTTACACTCTGCTGCTTCTCCATCACCAGGTCTGCAGAGACTGGGGAGGAGGGATGTTACAGGTCTGGTGAGAGTAAATGTATGTGTATGATAGCTGGAATTTCGAAGTAAGAAGTATGTGCAGGTTAGCAGGCTTTTTTTTATTGAGTAGTTTGTGTACAATATTTTTCCATATAACACTGGAACATCGACTTAAAACCATACTGTCCTTACCAAGGCCAGCCAGCGCAGTGGACAGTGACGCTGTGGTGGGGTTATGGGCTGGGGAGGCAGTAGCTCCAGCAGCGGAGTTGGGTGGAGGGCTGGATGTGATCCTGGGCGTGACCACAGCAGGGGAGCCTGGGCCCAGGTCTATCAGGTTGTCCTCTGTGGCCTCATTCAACATCTGGCAGGGGAAAGATAGAGAGGTGGCTGTCAACAATAATGAATGGGTGAAGTATGCAGTAATTTAGAGGTCTTGCTATGATGAAAGAGTTCAGCCGGCAAATATAGATGAAGAAAGCTTATAAGTTTGTTGAGCAAATTATATTACAGAGTGTTTTTGTGTCTTTGTATACGGACAAAATATTTTGCAGCTACTGGAATTCTACAGGATTGATGGTTTTACACACGGTGGGTGAATAGTTGTGGATTGGAGGCTACGCACAGGAACAGTATTGGGGGTTGAATAAGCAGTTGCACAAGACTTCAAATGTGTGAGTCAAGAGCACGAAGGACGGGAGAGAAGGACATATATACTATCTAGTTTCACATGGTGATACTAATGTTGACACGTCATAGGGGTCAAAGCATTAGTTCCGTATAGAAGATGTGTTAACATTCATCACTCTGTTCATCCCCGCACAGTGGCTTGGATTGAACGTGGTAGTGGTGTCATACTTGCCTCCGTCAGCTAGCCACAACACAAACAGACAGAGCACACAGAAAGATCAACAGAATGCAAACACAAACAGCTATGTGGGATGCAGCGAGAGATGCCCCGGTCCTCTGGCGAATGACTGATACTGGCAAATGTACACTTTAAATAGTAGATTGGAACTTGTTCTGCTTTACTCGTCCAATTTCACAAAGCTAAAAATGCAACCCACTTGCAAAACCTAGTACTGCTGCAGAGGAATGTGTATGCTATTATAATATATAAAGTAAATTGTAATTATGAATTCAGATGCTAACATGGTAAAATAAGTACAACAAATGGCTATGTGGACTGATTTATGTTGGAAATATCTAGCCTAGCATCCCTAATGCTGGAAAATTGCCACAGGCAACGGAGCTGTATTAAAATATAAAAAATGAAATAAAAAAATAAGAAATTTTCTGAAAACATGCTAAAAGCAAATGGAAAAGAGGCAATCCTAAGAGAGAAATTTGGTGTTTGATTTCTGCTCTTTGCATGCAGAGCTGCTATTGATGGTACTTACCCCGTTGTTCTGTGCAGCTCTACCCGACCTGTACCTCTCATACCTGTGAACAGCACAGAAACCTTTGAATGTCTTACCACATGTTTTGTGAGGTTCAAATGCTTACGAATCTTTCATCTTCAGAAACCTCATGAAAGAGACATTTTAGCAGTTTGAAGCCACAGAATGTTTAAAAAGGAATGAGTTATGCACAGTGCTTCAAAGGAGATCTCTAACTCTGAATGTTTAGACTTGCTCAGAATGTAATGCCAAATCTGTGTTGAGCATTTTTTCTCAAAATATTCATTGATATCTTGAGGTATAATCACATCTAGAGTATCATCTTTAAACTCATGGTTTGAGATGCAGTTTGACCAACAATTATTTATCCATTAAACATATTGGCCTAAATCTTGATCTCACACATTGGGACAGCAAAAACATCACGCTCAGCTGTTGGACAAAAATCATATTACCAACACAGAGAACTTTAAGATTACAAAACAAAGTTCTGATGAGGTAAAAAAAAAAAGAAAAGAAGAAGAAAAAAACGAAGACTGTCACGTCTTTTCTGCCCTTGTTTTGCTCTAAATTCTAATTGATTGATTGACTGTACCTCTCATATCGGAGGAAAATGTTGTTGAGGTCGTCGTTGACATGTAGCAGCTCCTCGGTCACTTCTTCATTAGAGACACGTGAAATCAGCTCAACCACTCTCTGCTGCATGGCCCTGCATGTCCTGTTCAGCTCCTTGATATATTGGCACATCAAGAGATAGATCAATGGATGAACTGATAAATCAATAGATAAAAACAGAAACAAAGGGAGATGGTGAAAGAGAGGTGGACTGACAAATAGTCAACTGTTTGTTGACCAATGACCCAACTCTGTATTAACAAATCATTTTGTCATATGGCTGAATTTTGAGAGTATTGTCCAAATCTGGGGAAATTCACTTTACAATAAATGTATATCTTTTATAAGGCATTCAGTGTTGAATAACTCAGAAATCTTTGCTCAACTGTTTATAAATTCTTTAAATGCTTTTTTTTCAGTAGCAGCTGGGAAAAGTCAAAAAGGTAGCACATAACCATAACAACTGGCATAGGTTCCTTAGCACAAAGCCAGATCCTTGCAGCTAACCCAAATACCTGAGAGGATTTGGTCTTAGGAGATTAAACTCTACATGAGTTTCTATACCACCGTTTAATTGCCAATTCCAGGAATTTACCACAGCCAACTAGCTCTTGATAAGTTTTAGGCGAGTTGAGCTTTTCCTCTGAAAACTAAAGACACCACTCCCCCTAGTGGCTGCAAATCGTACCAACATTTTACAGCTGTGCCGTGTTACAAAGCTTTTTGCTTTCTGAATCATATAAAGTATCTTTTACAATGTGGGGCAATGCATACAGTAACTTCATTTGCATGAATCTCTATTCACAGTGTTTTGTGAAAGAGTGTGGATGTACGTGTGATTGGATTTGCCTTGATTATTTAAACTACTTTAAATCCACATTAAACATGAATCAAACCATCTCCATAAATTCGCTCTTATTTCCACTGTTGTTAACAAGGATGATTGTCAGGCTAAATATAAGCAGTAATGTGTGAAGAAGTTACATGTATGTGGTTAAGATGGAGCCCATAGTGTATTCATCTAACCTGCAGCAGTTCTAGGTCAGAGGCATCTTCCTGGCCGGGGACCATCTCTGTTAGCATCTCTGACATGACTTTAATGTTTCCTCTCACTACGTCCAGCTCACTACGCAGCCGGGCAATCTGAAAGAAAAAATGGTCAAAGGTCATTTAGGACTCGTCCAGTGTCATCAGTGCAACAGATGTTCTTGAAGGCAGCAGACTGAATGGTTGTGAAAGCTTGTAATCTGCTTTGAATCATGCACGGAATTACTGAACTCTGGATAAATCTGCTTTATTGACTGACTCTGGTGAAATGGGCCGTGTAAATAAATGAAGCTGACTTCACTTTACTGGCAACAAAGTGCAGTGAGAAGTTAATATAACTAGTCACCTGTTCAGGGGTTGCTGTGATGGGGCTGGGCAAGTTGGGGACCTGTGTGGCAGAGGCAGGGGTTGGGGCAGGTTTAGGAGCCCCGGCAGCAGGTGACGCAGGGGCTAGATATTTGATCATGGCTGGGTCCACCTCAGGTGTACCCTGGAAGAAAAAATAGCCCTTTATGATATTGCTGTGTGAATATACATGTCCTTGTATGTGTATTTCTTTCTGCTCACCCTCTGTGGTGTGTGAATTGGAGACAATGCGTCCAGGTCTGCCATTGGGAATTCAATGCCTTTCCTCTTCAGTTCTTCATAAATATGGACCACCCCAGTAAGATCAGGGCTACTCCTGAAGGCATCAGCCCATGCCTGCCCCAACACACACACACACACACGCACACGCACACACACACACACATTATAAAGTGCAATAAAAATGAAGAAATAAGAAGTCATTTTATCATTTCAAATCACAGTATCAGTACCAAGAGCTTTTTTCCTGCCTTGTGTGCAAATCCTTAACAAAAAAAGAAAAAGGATCTCTTGCATCCTCCCAGACATACAGTGCACTCACTTTTCTCACTGAGAAAAGTGCCTCAAAGAGGAGTGTCCCTTGAGGTATCCTTCAACAAATCCCTATAAATATTTAGAGGACAGCAGAAAGAGAAACAGAGAACACCGCCTGTTGGCTGAGCTGACCTCAGGTAACTGGATAGCAACACCAGAGGCTGCAGTCTGTGGTACAGCACCTGGGAGGTGGAGCATACAGTGCCCACCTGGCTTCCCAGAATCCAGCATTGACTGATAATAACTACCAAAAAAAAAAGCAAAAACAGAGAAAGCTCCAATACCTGTATGAGCGACAGCACTTTGTCTTGTACGATAGTTGGAGGATTGGTTTTGGGAGAGATGATTTTGACCAAAACACCATCAATGAAATCTCTGTTGGCCACCTGGACATGAAACCTGTGACCACAGTTCTTCACACATGTTTCCAATACCTGCAGAGAGGGAGAGGATTAAACAGAGATAGAAGCCTGACAAATGACAAAAAAAAAAAAAAACTGCAGAGGAGGAAAGTTTGTCAGTGAGAGGCAGCAGAGAAAGGGAAGACTTTGCTCTCTGGTGTTCACAAAACATCTCAGTCAGGATGCTTTCATCACACAGAGGGGCTTTTAACTAGCAGAGCTATCAAAGATGTGGGTGGATAAAAATTGAGAACACAGCTCAAAAGGCATGTCCGCTATAAAGAAAATGAAAGACAAGTAATGTCAGAGAGATAAAAACAAGCGAGACAGTGGCTAGGCGAAGAGACGCAGTGGAATAAAATGGCCAAGAAGACAAGATCAGGAGAGGTCAAGTTTAATGCAGGGTGCAACCTTTTAATGTGGTGTACAAACTGAAAGGCAACAACAAAAAGGCCAAACGTGGCCTCCAGAGAATTAAACCATAACAAAATGTTCCAAGGTGCAAAGCCATTTTTATGACACAATGCCCACGGACACGTCTGGTCAATTTAACACAAGCTTTGCACTAAAAAAAATCCAGCTAATAGTAAGAAATTCTTACCGTTAGCGCCAGCATCACTTCTCTGTAGTTCTTGTTGCCACTGAGTCTCTTCTTCAGTGCCCGCATAGCATCTTTAGGCCTTGAGGGAAACAGCAGAGAAGATGCAGCTGCATAAAGCACCCCAGCTGAGAGTAGGCATAACATCTTTGACTTAGGAATAAATGATTTTCTGTGCCACAATAACACATGCCAGTCGGTCTGTCGGTGTAACTGTTTGACTAAGACAGAGAAGCATCGTCACACCATCTGTTTCTCTCTTTTCTCTCTGCATGACTATGTGTTTCTCTCGAGGCGATATCAAAGCCGTCCATGTATGAAGAGTTCAGTTCAGGCTGGCTTTCTGCTTCAAACGACTCGTCTCTTCACGGCAGATAATAAACTTTTTGCACATTTACTGAGTTTTCATTTCTATCTGTCTTTTATCTATCTATAAGTGGATGGAGAGAGAGTATGAAGTCTGACATATAGCTTCCCCCGACAGTTCTCTGTATATGTGTGCTCAGTGAATATACGCGTTATATGAATATATATTAGACTTGCCTTTTGTGTTTTTTTGATTTTGGATGGTGCATCTATTGTGTTCTGAAAACACACAGTAGCATGCGTTAAGGCAACAAAGTCATTTACGTTTGCAGAACCTGAAGTCCAACTCTGGAGCAAACCAGACATTGTCAAACTTGCTGAACGTCTTGAAGACAAGATGTTCTGTGTTCTGTGACACTGAACTCCCTCTCTCTCTCTCTCTCTCTCTCTCTCTCTCTCTGTGTCGCTGTGTGTGTGTCATTGTGTGTGACAGAGAGGGGCCCATGTCGCATGCCAACACAATGAGTGTGGGTAGACGTGAAGAATGTGAAAAGCAGGGGAAAGAGGACAGTGATGAAGGGAAAAATGGAAACACACAGATTCATAAAAAGTCATTTTACATATTCTTCCCCAAGAATACTCTTTTTCCATAAAGGTGAACAACCTCATTTCAGACTATGCAAGTGTCTAATTAGTATGTCCTACAGTAACTGTTAACTGAAAACCTTCTCTCTAGGATACATTAACCACATATGGATTTAATGTGTTATGGAAGAAAGTCACAAAAGTGCTAAATAAGTAGAGCTATATGTTTTATTGTACATGAAAATTTTAGATTGCCATCATATGCTGCAGTGTGAAACCTGAGTTGTTGCAGTCAAATGAAAATAGAATTTGCAGCATTTCTATTCTATTATATTTATGTCTAAGTCTCAAATTTCATTTCTAAATGCTCATGACAGAAGAAGCTTTTTTGATGAAGTCAGTTTTGATTGTTTCGTTCTCGCATTTGTAGAATCTGTCTCACAAGCCATAGCAGCCAGGGCATCTTTCAGTGTAGAAGACTGGTATAAGAATTTCATTCATTCAGTCATTCATTCATTCTGCCAGTGACACCTAAGGAAAACAAAAGGCTTTCTGTCATGTGCTGTCTGTTGTTGGAGCACAGTTGTCTGTATTATTTGCTCGAGTCCCTCAGTCAGCCAGTGTGTGGTAAAACAATGCAAGTTCCATTATAAACCAATGTGGGACCACAAGTCTTTCTGGGTTAAAAGACCTCACAAGTCCTGCAAAACACTGATGACATGAAGTGCTTATATATACGCATATATTATAACCCAACAATCATGAATTCCCTGAAGGTGCAAAAGCTCACCCCTCGTCTGTCTCGTTGATGATATCACAGATTTCCATGTTGAGGGTCCAGTCCTCATTCTGGAGGCCTCCATCTGTGGCCCTCTCTGAAGGAAAACAAAGAGTTCAACCAGAATATTAATTACATTTTAATTCACTGTAGGCTCCACTGTAGTGTTTTCTATACAAAGTTAATGTTTGAGAGGTATTAGACATTATAACATTTTTCATTTGACTCTAATACTGATGGAAGCTGGTGGGTTTCTGCACACATACAAATTGTTTACAACTCCACATAATGTCTTGGTTACTCGACGACCCACACCAGCACTGTGGCTGACACTGAAGAAAAATTTTGTTTTGATACCCGATCCACTGTTTTGCAACGCGCCAGCTGTCTCACTTGCAATGCATGATGATGCTTTTTAGTCGGGCTTGGTTGTTGCCTGCACTAAAGTCAATGCTCATTAATTAAAGCAACCAATGGTTTATATAATGTTGAGAGCAGAAACTGTTGTGTAAGCAAGTCAGCATGTGGAGACAGACTTCTCTCTCTCTCTTACTCTGCCTAACTTTTTATGTCCTTATATTACTAACACTATATGAACAGTTTGAGTCATCACTCAGTTAAATAGATGCATATGTCTGCACTTTAAAGCTGCTGAAAATTTGCCTTCAAATGTATTTATGTCTCTGTAAACTTATATATTTACAGTATAACCAACATGAGCCACAGTTAAAGTAAAAAAAAAAAAACATCTTTAGGTATTAAGTATTAAGTATTTAATACTCAAAATCAGACTCTGAACACAAATTCTGATTGTCCCGCCCATCCAATAGCTGATGACCACTGCTTTAACTGAAGGATGGACATAAACTAATGAGCTTACTTGTGTTTCTGAATTTCCTGAAATGTACGATAACAAACTGACCATCCATCTCTGATCATGTTAAGACCAGACAAAAAAGATATTTGCTTGAAGAAATATCATCAAGCAAATGCAGCTACCGATCTACTGGTAGCAGTGTTAGTATTCAGAACAGCGCCACCAGGACTTTAACAGCAGATGGAGGAAAAGTTTTCAGGGCCTTTCATGTCTTGCCTGGATGTATTTTCTTGTATTTTTCTCTGCTGAGAATTTATTTATTTTTCGCTGCATGTAATTTGGGAAAATGATCAATAATATATATAGCTATAATACAGCTACATATAGCTATAACATGATAGGATGTCCTGCAAAAATCTAATCAGGCTGATTGTTATTGCAGTTATGAATTGATATGAACATGCTTTGTTAACAGCATGTCCAAGCAAGATCCATTAATAGTGTAATTGAAAACAAATCTCTGTTATACGTGTTGGGATGAAGTCTCGGTTTGAGGATCAGGAGACAAATCAGACAATTCTTCATTCCTTTAGCTTTCAGAACACTATTATCTCAGAGTCTCGCAAGAAACTCCTGTGCTATAAAATATCGTTCACCACCACCTGTTGCTCCAATGCCTCCAACTCCAGGAAATTAACCGACAGAACCAAACAGTCAGCTGGAAAGTGGAAAGCTAACATCTGAGGAGAAAGTGAAGCTGACTGTGGGTATGATGTGTCTGTGTACTCAGTCATAACTTATATATCAGTTGAAAAACAGAAGCCACAGAGACCTGCTCTCCCCTTCACACTCCGCCCTACAATTTAATAGCATTTTGGCAGGAAATAATGTGATCCAGACAGAGAGAAGCTCCAGTGATGAACTGGCACTGCAGTCATCAATGCGTTCCTCGCTCTGTCTCCTCCTTCCTCTCCTGTCCCCCAAATCCATCCATCATGTCTGTGAATGCTGATATCTTTTAGGATAGCAGTCATTGGGGGTGAGAAAAAGGTTTTTTTTTTTTTTTTTACAAGAGTTTTTTTTTTTTTTTTTTACTGAAGCAAACTGTGACCAAGATCCTGTGGCTGACAGTCAATAGATTCTCATTAGACAATTCCTGAGCTTTGACAGGAGGAGCTCCTTTTTCTGGAGCCCAGAGGCCCTGAGCAGGCTGTCATGCCCTGGCCAAGAGACTCTCACTGGGCCATCTTGCCTTCCTTTTGGGAAGCTCAAAGTTGGACAAGCTTCATAGCCATGACTTATTCATGCTCTACCTCCCCTCTCTAATCAACTCGTCACAGACTGGGAAACCACTGAGACAGGTATCTTTGCTGGGGCACATTCCCATCTACAAACACTCGACAAAAATAGAGAGACATAAAGTGAATCTCGTCATGAGCAGCGTTTAAAAATAGTGTGCTGTGTCTGGGTGTGCAGTATATATGACTTGAGTTTGGAAGAATTAACCAGCCACTTCCACTAGAATATCCCATGTAATCTCCTCAAGTGGATTGTCAGGTCGAGGAAGGGGCAGAGCAGGGTTGGCAGAGGAGGAAAAAGAAAAATCTGAACTCTCCATGTGAAATGAACTACAACGACCCTGAACAATCAGAGCCTTGCTAATGAAGTTGAATGCCCGCTGAGTGCATGCATTCGTGGTGTTGTGTCAATCCCCCCAGTCCTGGGAATAGACACCACTCCAGTGAAGCCAGTCGATCACATGGCTTTTCCAGTGGCAGGCTGTGCCACGCACTGCCAACAAAGCCACAAATCTCTGTCCCTCTCTGGCCCCATCTCTCCATGTTTTGTCCTTTTATAACTCTTCCTTTCTCTACACATTTTCCACTCGACCTTATCTTTTGTCTTTAATGACTTTGCTCGCTTTTTCCTCTTCTACATACAGTATAACTGAATTAGTTGTTTGACACCATCTGCTTGCCAAAAGCTGGCTGTAAATTCTGGTTATGTTCAGGGCTTTTTGGCACAGAATTAACCAGCATTCATGAGACATTTGTCTAGTTGAATACTGGAAGAAATTCTTAAACTTTGAATTTTAATTTTTGTATGATATTCTGAAAAAGACATTCAGTGGATACTTGAGTTGTATAAAGATGACAAATGGCAAATTGACCAATAGACCCATGTCTAGCCCTGGTCATTTCATTTATCACAGGTGCATCAAAATTTCTTTCATTTCAATCAGTTAAAATTTGCCAGTGTTCTTCTGTATTGTCAATTCCACTTAATGAATGACAGAGTGCATTGCTTTAGCTCTCTGTACTAATAGCCCCTCACCACTATACTTACTGTGCCTTGACCATGAAGCTGCAGCTTGAATGAGAAAAAAAAAATAACAGAAGCATAGCTTGAACTTCCCCTCATGTGAAATGGTAACAAAGACATATGCACACGTGGCACACACCTGCATACATCATTCACCACCTCTAACCCCTTCTCAGTCACTTAGGAAATGAATAATGCCCTCATGCACCAGTCTCTGTCTCCCCAGTCTGTCTCATTGTGTCAGGTAAATTGATCCCTTGCCCTGCTGCTGTGCTGCCACTGCAACAGCCAAACAGATAGCTTGCTGTAAAGCTCTGCACAGTGCAGCAACTCAACCAGAGAGATCAGGATGGAGACACAGGCATCTCCGTCAAATGGGGAAATCCAAGATATGCTGCATACAGCCCACTACATGACCTAAGAGGACCTCTGCAGAGTAAAATGGTAGAAACAGAGCTCACAGTTGGTGCCTGGGGGCCATCTTGGCCAACATAGCACAGAGCAGTTGACCGGTGGGTGGTAACTCAGGCCCTCTAACTCAAAAAGACTTCCTTCCTCCAAACTGTTTCTATCCACTGGCATGAATGAGCTTAACGAGATTAAAGCAGTGCATGGTTATCTAGGTTCTATCTCTAGTAAGTGAAAAACAAGTGGAATAAGAAATTCTGGAATCTACACAGACATGCCTTGTTTATAAAAGAGCAGCTTGCCCTGTGAGAACCAGAAAAAAAATGTAATCAACAAATGCTTCTGTAACAGCTGTTGCATTTACTAAAACATAAACATAAATCAGGAGTGTGACAAATTTGTGTTTGGTCCACATCTGTTTTGGGGTTGAAGTACACATTAATAAAACAGGGAGGAAATGCTACATAAAAGCCTGAGGAACGTTTACACAACTTAACATAAACACCGGCATTAGAATTCAAATCAATACTGTTTGGAAATAGAGAGGGTAAAGACTCAAGTCCATGTAGGAAATCAGCTAACAGAACCAAAGATGGTGGTCCCTCTATAAACAGGAGCAGAACAGTAATGATGTTGTAAAAAAGGTGTAGTATGGTGGGTGAGATTCACCAAAATCACTGAGCCTTACTGGATTTAATTAAACGGATAGGGAAACAAAAATAGAGAATCACCAGACTATGCTGTTACATTATCAAGCAAAGATTATTTTCTGAAGCTCTCGCAGAAAAGCTATCATCATCATTTCATCCTCATCCTCTCATGATAAAGGCACATCGATGTTGGGTGTCAACTGGCCTGGGTCAGAGGTTGCTTAGCTCTGAGCAGTTTTCAAACAATAGGCAAGATGCAAAGATAGATGTAACCACACTAAAGGGATGTGGCAAGCCACACGTCTTTCTTCTCCGCTGCAGCACGAATAAACATCATGGTACAGAGCCTTAAGATTTAAAACAAACACCAACCTGTCAGCCCACGCAGTGAGGTCAACTATTGTTCAAGAACTTAAGGAAATACTGAACTTCAACATAGCTGAGGCTCCACAACCCACTTTAAGCCGTGTCATTACACGCCCATGCAATGCAGCCTCATTTCTTTTTTTCCTAAAAACTGCACTGCACTGTCCAAGAAAACACATAGTGATTTAGCGTAATGACTTGTGATTACAGCGGACTAAGTTTGGTAGGTTAGCAGTCTAACATTAGCGAGAAGCTCAATCCAAGTAGATGACGTTTGCTCCGATGATGCTGGCTAGCTCGCTGTTTCCACTGGCGAAACCTTAAATAAATCCTTGCAAAAAAACACCACATTTTTGTCCACGCTCAAATTCTGTATGGTGGAGGAAGTATCACATCTCCAATAAATGATTTCAAGGCTAACGTACCTATACATTGGCCCACAGGAGTGCTGTACGGATTGCCAAGTAAGAACTCCATTTTGACAACAAACAATCCGCTCGGGGATGACAGAGGCTGAGGCCCAGGCGGCACTAACTAGTCCCGCCTACAGAAGAATCTTATTGGTCAAAAAATCCAGAAAGGTCAATATGTATGGCTAGAATGAATGTCGTTCATATTTAACAACTAAAGCTATGTTCAACAAACGTTTTTTTTCACATTTAAGCATGTATTTTACATGATAGCTCAACATAATTGTATATAAATGCACGGACATACACAAACAACAATCTCAATTAAACTCAGGCATGAATTCTTTTAAGTATAGACTATAGGTATACATAGGTACTGAATGCTTAGTGCATACGTTGAAAGTTTATTGTGACAGAATGACTTGATCGTACTTGAACGCAGCTTAATGCCAGCCAGTTGCCATGTAACAGTGTGTAAACAACAGACACTGTTGTCAAGGTGCTAAAACTTATATCGTGTGATTTTTTAGAGAGTAGAGTACTGTACTTTGGAGAAACAACAGCTGGGTTTTTGCGGTTGTCGTTGGTAGGTAGTTACTTTAGAAGCTTGTTATCGTTGACGAATAATGTTTGTTTGGCAAGCTCATTTATCCATTCTTCTTAGCAAGCTAATTATAGCGTTAGCTTCCTAATATTATCCTAGCTACACTATTAATTGTTATTTTGTCTTACTTTATTGTTCGTTAAAATTGTGCATAAACCAAACTCCCAATTAACAAAATATGGTCTACTTTTCTTTTTTGAACAGAGGGTTAAGTTTAGTTAAGCGTGCTTCCAACTCAACAGTAGAATGAAGAAATTGAATTATGAATCTCAGCAAACTTTGATGGATGAAGAGGTTCTGCAAAAGGCAGTTGCAGAGCAAACTTCAAAGGCTGGGAAAACTGCCACGGCGGGGCGAATAGACTTTGATGCAGTCCCTCATATACGTCTGGAATACAAAAGTGAGAAAAATCATAAAATTACCAATCAGTGTCTGAATGTGTATTGGGTTTGTATTGGTTAGTATGTGAGAGGTTATTTGTTCACAGACATCCAGTGGATTGACCACTTATGGGACTTCACATCCTTGGCCAGGCTTGATTTGAACAACAACCTCATAGAGAAGATTGAGGGCCTGGACCGTCTAATTAATCTGACGTGGCTTGGTAAAATGAAGCTTTGCATTTACATTCTTGTCATAATGATACTGACAAACATGTACAAAACATCTTGAAATATAAGCCCAGTAACTCCTAGTATTAATTACAGTCATTCTGAATGTGTTTTTTAGATCTGTCATTCAACAAAATAGAGAAAATTGAGGGTCTGGAGTCTCTCCAGAAGCTTGAATTGCTGAATTTGTCCAACAACAGAATCTCTGTCATTAAAAACATGGATAAACTTGAGACACTCAGTCATTTCCTCATTGCAAACAACCTCCTCGGACAGCTGGACAACGTAAAATAAATTTCTCTCATAAAATCTGTCACATATTAAATATATATATATATATATATATGCATTTGTATTGCAAGTACTATATATGCGAGTATAACATATATATAGAATGTTTGTGTAACCAATGCAAATCTAATGCATTTCAAAGGTACTCTATCTCAGGAAATTTAAGAACCTGTTCACCCTCAACCTATCTGGAAATCCTGTCTCTAAGGAGGATGATTACAAATTTTTTATTGCTGCCTACTTTCCAAACTTGATGTACCTAGACTACAGACTACTTAGTGATGAGACAGTAAGTATAAACAGTGATGTGTTTTCACACAAATCCAAGTTGTAATCTGCTGTAATCATATATTTTTTGTTGTTTTCTTCCTTTTGGCAACAGACATTTTATAGATAATTTTCTTAAAACCATGACTATGCCCAAGGCTGTTTGGAAATTGTCCTAATGGGCATTTATAACTTGCCATGTTGATATTGTATAACAAAATCACATGTGTCCATGTGCAGAAAAAAGAAGCATCTAGCAAATACCACTATGTCCTTGTGAAAATGAGACATGAAGAGCTGCAGAGACAACAAGCACATGCTGCTGAGCAAAGCCAGAAAGCTGAACTTCAGTTACACAAAGTAATATAAAGTTCTCATTTGGTGATGCACTCATTGTCCACTGAGCTCTCAAACTTGAAATGCACATACAGTGTGTCAATTCAGTTCGTCTTTCCTACAGGATGCCTTTGTGGAGTCCCTCAATGGGTCTTATCTGTTTGAGAGCATGTTCAAAGATGATCCAGAGGCAGAGACACTACACTGCATAAGAGAAGTGGCTTGTTTGCTTCAAACATATCCTTTGTTTCTTGGCTTTCTCATCCATGCAGCTTTATTAATGAAATATAATTTCGGAAATCAGTCCTTGAATTCCTTGACCCTATGCTTACATTTGAGCACCAGATGGTGGATCTGTGTATGCAGTTGTTTGAAATAGGCTTGGCTGATCATAAACGAAGAGAGACAGAGGTGAACTACTTCTTCAGAGGTCAGACTAGGGCTTTGACAGACTACCAGCAGAAAGTATCACAGACATTGGCAGATTTTGAGCAGCAACACAAAGAGGTGAGCTGGGAAGAACATAGTGATATGCTTAACAAACTTTAACAGTTAATACATCAAATTTTCTGTTAGAGATCAGTAAAGGAAAATCTCTTGTGTTCACACCTTTCCAGAGGATAGTGGAGTTGCAGCAGTTATCAGACCCAGATGTAGTGAAAGTCAAGATTAGCCACTACAATGATGAAATCAGCAAGCTCAGTAACAGCCTCATGTCACTGGAGTTTCAGATGGTCAGCCAGTTGGAGGTAGGTGTGTGTGTGTATAAACCTTCTGTACCTTGTAGACTGATCTAAGATAAAAGTATACACATTATTATGGTTTTATAATTATACTTAAGGTATAGATTCAATAGTTTACTGTCAAAAACTGTTCATTTCAGGACATCATCAAAAAGTTGGACATCAACATCTCAGAAATGGTTGCCAACTTCAGTGAAACTATTCAAGGGATATATCCTTTTCACTGCTTTTTACACTGTTCTAAATTAATATATATATTATATAATAATATGTTTTTGAGAAAAAAATACATCTTAATGCAGTGTCACATTAACCCAGCAAAGAGTGATTGCAACAGCTACCTCTATTATATGTTTACCCTGACTTTTGAACAAGATCTTAAGAAATGTCCCATCTTTATCTTGATCCAATTTGAACTGGATTGAATTTTTATTAAATCTGAGTCCCTACATCAATAACGTAGTCTTGTCAAAACGACTTCTTTGACACAATCATACGTTTGCCCAGTGTCGAGATCTGGAGGATAATTATAATCAGAATGTGCGAAAGATTGCTGTTGCAACTCTGGAGAAAGTGGCCAAGGATGACCTGGATGACGACATACCGGATGATGTTAGAAGTGTATGTGTTATCTCTTTTTTTTACCAAAGTTATTATCTAAAAGATAGGATTACATTATGGTTACTGTAGACTATTATAGCCTTATAATCAAAAACTTCTGCTCTGCTCCATCTCAGAGAAAACCTATGACTATGTAGACTGTAGATAGCATTACAGGTCAGATCAGGTTAGGTGAAGTGAGGGTATGGTTCATTACCAGTGTCGATGCCCTCAGCTTTTCACACCTGTGTTCTCTCTATGTAGCTGTTTACAGACAAAGACACTGTGATGGATGCACTGTCCACCGGCCATGATAACCACCTGCTGAAGATCAATAACCGAGAGAATGAGCTAGTTACAGGTGTCAATGCCTGGAAAGTAGCCCTCATTAAAGGGGTAGGTTGCTGGAATTACCTCATAGCAAGTACCCCAATTTATATTTTTATATGGATGAAAAACCTCTCCTCCGTATCGGTCAGTGTTGTTATTGTTTGCTTTTTGTCTTTTTTTTTTTTTTTTTTTNGCCCTCATTAAAGGGGTAGGTTGCTGGAATTACCTCATAGCAAGTACCCCAATTTATATTTTTATATGGATGAAAAACCTCTCCTCCGTATCGGTCAGTGTTGTTATTGTTTGCTTTTTGTCTTTTTTTTTTTTTTTTTTTTTTTTTTTTTTTTTTTTTTTTTTACAGATTCAAGACAAAGAACTTAAGCGAAACCGCATGCACCTCTCGGACGTCCACAGATATGTGGACCATTTGAGGGAGCAGCTGGAGGAGTGTCTGTAGCATGATCTTTGAGACAACTGAGTCCACAAACATGAATTTTATTCAAGTAATTGGTAAAGAAAAAAAGGAACAGGATATTTTCACAACCTTCTTGGACAACTGTAACAAATTTCACTGTCCACTGTTCACTGTTATTTTCTGTTTTATTATTATAGTAAAGAAATATTGTACTAAATAAATATGTTCACTCTTTCATACAATTTCTTGCTGTCTGTTTTGAGGTAATAAAAATAATTTTGATAATCATCAGGTTTAATTGTCACATGCACAAAGAATACATATTTGAATATTATGTCCAGTGCTCCTAAGACTGTGAAGAACTAGTGTGAAGATTTAGAAGAAGAAAAATAATTACCCCCAGATCCAGAATCTGAGGTTATTCCTATCTAAGTTTCCCTCATTTCTCTCATGGTTGTAGTCTTGTAGTGTGTTGAATACATATCCCAGAATGCGTTTTGGTACATTATCCAATGAGATTCTTGCTCAAGCCGAGCACCAGTTTCCAGCCAATGAGATTCAGGGAAGCTGGATTCTCAAATGAGACGTTGCAGTCCGCCTCCTAAGGAATCAGTTCTTGGACAGCTCACAAACTGAGTAAAGTTTTGGACCTTGATAATTTGTGTGCATCTGGCAGACCCTCCTCTGTCAGTACCCCTTCTCTCTGTAGCTGTTGTGTGCTCAGCCACAAAGTTCATGACGGTTGCTGACGGTGACACTTTAGCGCTCATCATGCCTGTCCGAGCAGAGTGCTGCAGTGCTATCGGCTCGGCCTGCTCATCCTCGGCGTCTCTTGTTCCCCCTGCCCCGATCAACACCTACCAGCCGGGTGTAGCCACCTCACTGCTGTACAGCGGCGCACAGTTTCGGGGTTACCAGAAGAGCAAAGGCAACGCTTACGACGTTGAGGTTGTTTTGCAGGTAAATTTGTCAATGACGTTCACTAATTCTCTTTGGTTTTAACATGAGTTTGTTTATTGTTATAACAGTAAAGTCAGCATATTTATAGCTCTAGTTGCTATCTTAGCAGACGGTAGCTCCTTAGCTTTTTCGCTGTCAAACAACTAACACGCTGACCCAGTTTTGAGCCAGCCCAGGTGACTGTGTTGCTACTCTTGCATTTCATTTTGGATTTGGACCAATTTTCAGAAATGTTTTCGTCACCTATCTTGCAGTACATATACTATCCAAACATGTTAGCATCTTGTGCAACTAGCTACCTAAATGAATGAAATTAATTTATGTCAACAGACCTAATAAGAGAAGATATAATGCCTACTTGCAGTGTTTGTCTCTGTTCACACAACTCCTACTGCCATGTTTTCATCACAAAGAAGAAGCAGAACCATTTTGCCCCTATGATTTCAGGCCAGTATAATGTTCCTTAAATCTGTTTGTCTTGGGCAGCATGTGACTATGGAGGACTCTTACTTGTGTGGATACCTGAAGATCAAAGGCCTGACTGAGGTAAGCTTTGAAACTAGGTCAGATGTAGTAAGACTGACCTTTATTCTGTCAAAGACTAAGTACAAACTAGTTTAAGCATTTAGCCCTGTTTAAGCAAGTAGAAACTGGTTTCCTCTTGCTTGATGCAGGCTGAATTGCGACAAAGATTAGATGTAGGCAAATGAGGGGGCATTAGGTTTAACCCTACTCTTTAAGGTGTAGACTCTAGTCCTTGGCTTAAGTGTGTCAACTGTATACCCATTACATTATGCAACATATGCAAGGGAAAAGGTCAGCAGAATCCTGGAGTAGATTTTGGCTGTGGCACAGTGGAGTGAAAGATGAGGAGTAGCCAGGTTGTGTGTGTCGCTATAGAAGAAGTAAATTATATTTGAACTGAGAGGGTGTTTATGAGAAAATTAAACTAAGATGACAGATTGTAAACATGCATCTGAATGCATCTACTTATTGCAGTAGGCCTATACAGGGCGGTTATTCAATGCATGGCTATACACAGCTACATCCTAATATCAACAGATATTAAGGACATGGGGAAAAAGGATACTAAATCATTGCATCACGATTACTGTAATCTTTTCTGCTGATGCTCAGGCCATGCCCTGCTGCACAACAAACAAGCCACTGAAAGTCTGGAATTTTGAATTATCCTCACCTTGCACAGTGATGGACTGACAGAGCTTTTTAAACCTTTTATGCAGTTTTAAAACAAATATAATCTGCACTCATGAAGTTAGGAAAAGGTTTCACCGCCAGCTTTGTTTCAACTTTTTCTTACTTTTCACTTTTGTTTCTGTGTGTGACAGGAGTATCCCACTCTCACAACGTTCTTTGCTGGTGAAATTATCAGTCGAAAGAGGCCTTTCTTAACCAGGAAGTGGGATGCAGATGAGGATGTGGACAGAAAACACTGGGTATGTTCTCTTGATCTTTATTCTGTTATTTTGGTTCGTTGAAAGTATGTTTGTAAATGATTAATGGATGACCAGTGAATTAAGAATTTGATATTAGCAGACTGGGCTGGGCTTGCATCAAATACAGCACATACAGTTTGGAAAACTGAAGGATATTTACCATGAGCAACCATGATGTTAATAACATTCTGCATAGTGGGAAAGGCATCTGAGACATGTTGGAGGTTTAAGTTCATCCAAACTGTAGCCTGCAGCTCTTCATATAACCAGTTCACTATCATTTTGTAAACTGTGCAAAATTAAGTTTAGTCTTTTTAATTTTGTTTAACAATAGAAGGAGCAGCACTTATCACTGTGGTGTGAGAAAAGCCCATGGGAACTGTGAAAATCAAATGACAGGCATCTCTTTATTTTATAAGCATGTAATGATTAATAAAGATTTAATTAATTATTTATATGGCAGTTCAGTTAAACTTTGCACCTTTTGTTATAGTTGCTGTCTTGTTGTCATCTCCTTAGTTTCTGTTCTCTTCCCTGTTTTTAATGTTCACTCAACTAGGGCAAGTTTCAGCCTTTTTACAAATATGCCAAAAGCTTCAACTCGGACGACTTTGACTACGACGCACTGGACAACAGTGATTACGTCTTCATGAGGTGGAAGGTTAGTGCGTGATCTCACTGTCACATCGCTCTCTCTCTCATGTTAGCTTCAAACTCTAACCTCCGCTGTTTCCTGCACTCTCAGGAGCAGTTTCTGGTTCCAGACCACACTATCAAAGACATCAGCGGTGCCTCCTTTGCAGGCTTCTATTACATCTGCTTCCAGAAGTCCACAGCCACTATCGAGGGGTATTATTACCATAGGAGTTCTGAATGGTAACTACCGCTCCTGTTTGTAGCTCAGCAGCATTACAAGCCAAATTCAATGACTAAAAGAGCACTTTTAATGTCTCTCTTTTTTTCTTTTTCTTTTTTTTTTATTTACATCTGCAGGTACCAGTCTCTAAACCTAAACCATGTTCAGGTGCACAGTGTGCCCATTTATGAATTTCGGTGACACAAACACACAGGAATATTGAGTGAAGTAAGGGACAGTTCATGCTGCGCTGTGCTTAAATGGGATGGCAACGACGGAGGAGCCCTTTTAATGCCAAGAATGGCGGTGACCGGTTTTCCTCGCTGTGGGGAAATAAACGTGGTCAGACACTCCTCTGGTGGACTGAAGGAAATGACAAATGGACAGTTGTCACTGTTGCTGTGGAGCTGATGTTTGCCTCGGATTTCATTTTTAATTTGTCCTTTTTTTTTCTTTTCTTTTTTTTTTCTTTTTTTTACCTGTTTTTATTTCAATTTTGTGCAACTGATTGCTTTGTGCTCTCACAGTATGTGTCTCCCAGGAGTTGGACATCAAAACAGGTTCCAGGTTTCCTTCAGTGGAGACACTATTAATATAATTGCCTTTCAGTTAAGAGTTGCAAAAGAAAGAGTATAAAGTTGTAAGAGGAGTTTTGTTCAGCAAAGCTTAATTTATTTCTCTTTTTCTGATTATAGAGCATCTCTGAAATATCGCTTTGATGCACCTTAGTGATTAATGCAGAGCGTGATGTAGGGGTTTTGCCAAAAGGTTTCAACAGAAGCAATGGTGAGCAGTGATCCACTTTTTCTGCAAGGTCTGTGAGACTAAGTTGTTGTCTGTTGATCAGGGATGGTGTGAGCTAGAAATGGTCATTAATAACCAATCATTTCCAAGCTGCTGTGTTTTTCAAAAATCCACTAAACATCTCAACAAAAAGTCTGTAAATGGCTTCACTCTGAATTTTCTCTATGCAAGCCAAAGCTCACTAATAGGAAGGGTTTCTTACACCACCTAACTTAATTTCAGATGGTTTCTCTTCAAGAGTGATTTATTTATTTGTTTTAATCAAGAGAAAGAATGCATAATAAAATTAAGAATGATAGAAAGGATAAGGAGGTTTATTTAATTGCAATGACCAGCATTTAAAGCTCAGATATGTGACAACACCTTCCTCCTCGTGATTATTCTGAAATGTTTTTCAGAATTTTGGTCATGTGGAAGTTGGACCAGAGTAATAGAGATTTCATGGCACATGTGTAGTTTGACTGGAGACTGAGTCTGTGGATAAAGTTTAAGTTTCTGTCAGTTCCTGTCTCATGGTCACATTCATCTGTCTCACATTATTTCCACTTGTAGAAGCAGTGAAAATATGTCTGCATTGGTTTATTTTAACACATTTTTTACTTTTGAAATAAGTCACAAAAGTAGGATATAACATAGAGCTTCAAGTAAGACACTTAGCTACAGTGTGTGACTGTTCTGTCCAGTGGAGTATTATGTAAAGAAGCACCTTTGAGGCTCGAGGAGTGTTGAGTAGGAAAAGGTGATGAAGAATAAAGCCTCCTTGATGCTTTGGGAAAAACCTGCTGCCTTACAATTTTAAATGCTTGTAAAGCTTTTTTTTTTTTTTTTAAGAAATTAAGGTTAGTAATATTTTATTTAAAAGGAATCATGAAAGTATATTTCTGTGTTTGAGAGAAGTTGTGCGAAGGCGCTTTTCATCCACTTCTGAAGTTAAAGGTAAAGTGTTCTGCAAGGGGTTGATGTAAAAGCTCTCTGCTGGAGAGAGCATGTACTCTGCCTGCCTCTTTGTTGCTTGTAGACTTTCAGCTGGCCTGCAGCATGACACGTGGTCTTGATGGGTTGTTGTGGAAATACTGTCGGCACTGTCATTTTATTAAAAACCCCAACAAGTGGATTGGAGGTGTTGCAATCTGAACAACTTCAAAATAATTACCTTTTTTTATTCATCATAAAATAGAGAAATCAACAAAACGTGCAATGTAAGAAAGTGTTTGGGAGTGTGTCATTTAAAGTCAGTGACTGATTACATCTGATTTAAAGGGTCGGTTTAGAGAAGATGATGTATGATAAATCTGCTATGAATGTAATGTGTGAGGAGAAATAAAGAGAACTATTTGTATACTACTGCTGTTATTTTATTTTTTTCAATAAACCCAGCCCTGCTAAAGTTTAGTCAAACCTCCCATGGAGTTTTTCAGAGCACAGGGATCCTAGCAGCCAGCACTAGATGTCAGTAGTGAGCCATGAAAAGTTTCAAGACCTCAACTCTTTCAAACATGTCAGGGAGTCCCGACCAAGTTGAACATTTTTCAGCAGCACTGGTGTTAAGTAAGTTGTTGCCAACTTTGTTTCGTCTCTGACATAATGTAGCTGCTGAGTGAGTGAAAAAAAAAAAACTGCTGCTACAAATACATATAGATACGGATACAGGCCAGTCCCCCTTACCCTGCAACCCCTTTATAGACTCTCAAATGGAGAGAGGGATCCTACTGGCTGCAGCGTATTCCCATGCAGGTCAGCTCAGTCAAAGTCAAACAGTGAACCAGTTTATGTGCTGGGTTAAAAAAATCATGAGTTTTTTTTTTTTATTCATGCGTTTGGTGTTCAATGATCACAGGACCCCAGCAGGCGGTTGATCAACCATTATAATGCAGCTTTACTGATGACGTAAAAACGAGTCAATGATCAATTAGTGTGGTTCATGTTCGCTGTACGTGCCACAGGTAACGACACTTGGCTGAAGACGAGGAAACACATGTTCCAATGTGAACCACAAAAGGAAAGAAATGTTCAAAAAAAGTGGGCAAGAACTTCCTCATCTGGCTTTAACAATGCTAACAACTGTCTTAATGACTCAACACTCACTGCCTGCAGGGCTAATGCATTTTCACTGTATCCTAGTAATCCATGCACTTTGGCTGGGATAACAGTGCTTATGTATTGGTTATATTTTTTTGTTTGTGTTGAAAAAATATATTTTAGTAGTTGATGCAGCTTCAATAGAAGACAACAGAGAATGACACAGGTATGAATCCATAAAGACAAATCTATAAAAATTTGAGATCATCATGCTAATTCTGATTTCTTCCCTTTCTTTCATGGCAACATGGACACACGTAAAAATTACAATGATGCAGGTGTAAAAAGAAAATGAAAGTTAAATAGATATTAAATGACGTTGGTAAAGGCTGGTTGTCAACATCTGCAGTCGAGCCCTTCCACTGTGAAACTGTCATCATAAACTTCATTCATACAGTGCGGAACATACAGAGCACATACAGGATGACACATGTCAGAATATGAAGGACAACAAATAAAGATACAACACATACAAATATTGCAGATGATTTGCAGATAATTCATTAGTAATAGTGTGAAGTCAAGTATCTCCAAACTCTTGCATTTCACAACACAAACTTGTATTAATCTTTCTTGTGCGGAAGTTGAAGTTATCCAGATCCATGTGTGTGTGTGTGTGTTGGTTTGGATGCACTTTAAGTGGCTGCTGAGAATGATGGGCATTAGTGTATCTTAGTAGATATGTGGATTAACCAGACAACACAAAGAGTTGGTTCTTCTTCCAGTCAAACCCGTGAAAAACCTGTTGAAAACTATACTGACCTTTGTAATCACTGGTTCTATATTCAGTGTGTTTTGCTTGGTATTCATCCCTATCTAACATACTCATGGTGCTGACAAGGAATTTGGGAAACCATTTGGTCAGAGTTTGACTGGAGTGGAGAGAGGGAAAATGTTCAAACAAGCACCACAAACACACAGACACAGCCAGGCACGTAGATTTGGAGCTGCGCCATCACACCCCATTTCAGTTTCCTGTCTGTGTGTGTGTGTGTGTGTGTGTGTGAGAGAGAGAGAGAGAGAGAGAGAGAGAGAGAGAGAGAGAGAGAGAGAGAGAGAGAGAGAGAGAGAGAGAGAGAGAGAGAGAGAGAGAGAGAGAGATGTATTAATGTGACTAATTAGTGTTTTGTGTTCTTTCTTGTTTTTCTAGTTTAGTTAGTGTCGTTTCATCACTGTGTGGAAGTGTTAGTGGTAACCTGCCAGGACACTGCTGATGACAAATTGACAAATTGGCTTTCAGACGTCTCTGGTACAATGCATCAAATGTTAACATTTATGTTTAATTCTCTACATGGTCCTTCACAATAAAATACAATAAATAATACATTTTTCTAAACAATTCTTATTTTATACTGAATGTACCTTGTGCTTGTTCAGGGTCTGCCAACTGCAATACTTACTTAATTTCAAAAAGGAAAAAAAAATGCCCTCATACATCAGTGTGGTGTGGCATAAAAATCTAGTCCCAAGCACTCAGGTGAGTTTTTCTCCTCCAAGAAGACCAGAGCTCTTTCACCTGGTTTCACTCTTCTTTATTTTCTAGCATCTTATTATCTAATATATATATATATAGATTATAGAAATTATAAATATAATCTCTCTATATATAGAGAGATTAATATATAGATTATAGATATATAGATTTACATTACATTAGATTTACATTTTGTGTAAAGCACAAAATTTACAGTAACGTTTTTTTTTCTAGACTGGTGAGAAATGCGCTCGACGCAGAATGAAGTAAACACTACAAATCAGAAAACTGACATTTTCTGATGGAATGGGCCTGAACAAACTTGTAAGACATGGGTGTTTATGTTTATTTCATAATTTAATAACCTGCAGAATCAATCTCACCACTCAAATTCTTTGTGAATGGAAAATGCGAAGCAGCCTGGAAAATGTCCTTTGGCAAAGTAAGCTATGTGAACATTAAAGCGGTTTCTGTGTTTTCTAATTTTAGAATAAAGACCTACGTGTGATTTGCCAATAGCATTACTAAGTTTTGGAGCAACGCTGGAGTTTCCTGAGAACAACGAGGAGATTCCTCCACCTCTGATTGTGCAGCTGTGACTCACGGAGCCACACCTGCGCCGCTGGAGGGAATAAAAACGCACCTGCAGAGCACCACCGCTCCAGTCTCACACCTGAGCGAGGCTGCGAGGCTCGTGTCGCCACTGGACTACTCAGAGCACCTGGTCACGTCTCCGGGATTTGGTCATGGAGGCCCAGCGGTATCCCCTCAGTGTCCGTTTAATCGGAGTGATGCACAAGGAGAAGAGCAAAGTAAGCGCAGGCGGAGTTATTTCTCTATGCAAAAACGAATTCACGTGTGCTTTTCTGCAGTCTGATCAAATCTGCATCTTCCTTCTCCAGATGTACATGACCTCCGTGCTTTGGTCCGATCAGAGTGACGTCGTTGTTTACAGAACTTTTCAGGATTTCAAGAAACTGCACGTGAGTATAAAACACAAAATAAAAAATAAAAAAATAAAATCGGGGTTGCACACGAGAAGGTGGCTGCTTGTTTCTGTAACGTTTAACTTAAATTGGTCTTTATAGAAACAAATGAAGAAAGCGTTCCCGACAACAAGTAAACTGAGAAAATCGGAGAGAGTCATCCCCAGATTTCGCGGTAAGCGTGTGTGCGTGTGCGTGTGTGTGTGTATCACAATGTGCAACACAAAAACAGGCTTTGACTTTGTGTGTCGTGTTTCCTTCAGAGAGGAGGATGAAGCGGGGCGGTCAAAGGAAAGGTCCCAATAAATCGCTCGTGCGCCTCAAGTTCTTGCAGAAATATTGCAACGAGCTCCTGAGCTGCGACCAGCGGGTCACTCAGTCTGCTGACCTCATCCAGTTCTTCCACCCCAAAGACCAGGACCTGCAGCCGGAGTTTGCTAAGAACAGGTAGAGTCTGAACATCAGTTTTAAACAGTTTTATGTAGGGATGCCAGATGAGTTCTTGCTCTCCAGGCCCATGCACCCTCCACATCCTAACCCACCAATAGTCTGAGGTATTAAGCCGGATTAAGTAAAAAGTAATAGAGACTTTAATAAAAATTAACTTGACATTATTTATAGTTAACATTATATACTGTATATTTACAGTGTATTTGTTCTAAATCTAATTTAAGTATATATTCAGATGAGCTGCTTTTAACTGCAGTGGCATTTGAGAAGAAAGAATGAAAGAAAAAGAAATTATGACATGATAAAGAATTGTAGTGTTATACATTACAGTGAAAGTCTTAAATACATTATTAATATAGGTATCGGCAGATAAATGTGCAAGAATTGAAAAGTGCACAACAAACAATATGTGGACAAGAAGACTTGTAGATAAATACAAATACACTGAATACATGAAAATACATGTTCAGATCTGAAGTTATGGCAGAGCAGTCCTGCAACCATGTGGACCTGGATGGCGGAACTAGTATCAATGCCAACAGCCTTTGAAATACAACAGAGTAGACCAGGAACCAGCCCTGATGGTATCCTGACACCACTAAATGTGCACCCTTGTGACTGCACAGCAGAAAAGAAAAAAAAATGCATGCACAAAATCTGGTGCGTTTACCTCCAAACTAACCTGCAGCTCTCATCCTCAGCATCATCATCATGCCAACAGATGATGAAATCAGGGGGAACGCAGGACAAGGTGGCAACGTGACCCAGCCGTTTGTCACAGAGACGTACAGATGTGTGGCCCCGTACGAGACCAAAGACACCAAGAACAAAGCGTTCAAAGTGGCATTGGATGAAAAAGTGGACGTACTTATCAAGGACAAAGCAGGTGAGCAAACAAACTTCAATCAGGGTCGTGTAACAGGCCCCACAAATATACTCTGTGATGAGGTTAATGTGCGTTTGTGTTGGTTCAGGGTGGTGGCTTGTGGAGAACGAAGACAAGAAGATGGCCTGGTTCCCTGCCCCCTATTTGGAGAAGCTATATGAGGATGATGATGAGGATGAAGATGACATAGATGGGACTACTGAAAGAGGTACATGCATACATGCAATTCCTGACCTAATCCAATCAACCATTACCAAACATTACCTTAGTAGGTTCATGTCAGTCAGCATGACATTAGGTGTTAAAGTAATTTCCTTTCTCAGGAACGCTGTGCACTGCGATCAAGAGCTACAAGGCCACCAAAGATGATGAGATAACCGTGAACATCGGTGCAGTGGTGGAGGTCCTGCAGAAGTCCGACAACGGCTGGTGGCTCATCAGGTATTTGTTTCATCCTTGACTTTGCCGAGAGAAAGGTGCCACAGAGACTTCGGTGACTGTCAAAAAGCTGAAGATGAATAGGACAGGGTGATGAATACATGCTCGTGAAAAGAAAGACACTGGCAGAAATGGCAGTATGTTAAACATCTTCTATGAGGTAAAGGGAAAAGGCATCCGTCAGACTTAGAATCCCTCAGACAGACAGTGTAAACAAGATCAATCATCAACAAAATACCAGAGTGTTTGTGCTCATGTTGGCCGTACATTCCTGAAGTTGATGAAGCACTGCAGCCTGTAATTAAGAGCCGGTATCTTGATGTAAATCTAAAAATCCAGATTTTCAACCCTGCATTTCTTCACTTTTTTTTTTTTCTCAACAGATATAATGGTAAAGCAGGTTACATCCCCACCATGTACCTGCAGCCCTACAACTACCCTCATATCCGCATGGCAGTCCACAATCAAGATCGTCGTACCTCCTACCAGCTCCCAGTCCCCTCCTCCACGCTGGTTCAGTCCCACCAGCTCAGCCGCTCTCAAGGGAACCTGCTGCAACTTCCACCATTAAGGTCGTCCTCACCCCGCCCGCTCCAACCAGACAGCAAGCAGAGGTCGCACTCTCTTAACACCCTGTCTGAGCAACTTCCTGCTCAGCCTGCACACAGTGCCCCTGCTACCAGCGTTGCCTCCACACCTGCCACCGCACAGCACAGTCCTCCACCCACCATCATGGTGGAGATGGAAGGAGAGGAGGAACATGGCAAGAGCCTGAGGTCAGACAGCATGGGAAGCTTTGTGAGCAGCAGCAGCAGCAGCAACTTCAGCTTCAGCGATGACCTCATGTCCTCGGCGAGCTCATCCCTCAACCTGAGCCACAGCGCCAACGACGAGCAGCTGCGCCTCAGCCGTACGCCTCAGCCCGTGGCAAGCAACCGCCTCAGCCCAACAAGCGGCTTGGAGGGGAAAATGATCCCCAGCGTCTCTGATCCCAACCTCTACAAGGGGCCCACAACACCAAAGGTGCCGCCCAGGCCGCAAGCTCAGGAGATCCTCACCCGCTGCAGCACTGTCACCCGCAAGAACGCAGCCAGAGGCGGTGTGTCACCCACACCGACCGAGATACTGAGCCGATGAAGTTTCTGTTGACACCAACGTCGGCTTTATTTTTATAATTTAAACACCAGTGTGTAGGATTTAGTGGTGTCTAGCTGTGAGGAGAACCTATGGTGGCCCCTTTGTCCATTCTGGGCTACTATAGAAGATGGCAGACCTGCTTCCTATGTAAATATGAAGGGGTAAATCTAAGCTTAAACTATTCTTAGTTTCACGTGATTAAATCTTTAAGACTGATCAGAAAACTAAATGCATTATTTGCCTTGATAGCACTGTGGGAATATGCGATAGAAATGAAGTTGTGTCAATACCCCTTGAATAGAATATTTTCTGAATAGAAAAAATAACTTCTCAGTTTTGTTAATGTTGTCTGAGATGTATAATGTGCATGTTTACAACAAAATCAGCTACATTTAAATCAGCTTTAATGTATAAACATGATGATCAATCAAGATACACTAAACATGTATAACTCACCTCTTTACTATCTGTTTTGAATGATGATTTATTTTCCATACTGGAAATCTTATGTTGAGCCTTATATGCATTTTCACTGTGCCGAGTGCACAGAGTGTGATCGATTTGTTCCTGTAACTGCAGAAAAAGTAAATGTTTGTATGACATACCAGTTCTGTTTTCCTGTTAAAGCATGTTTACAGAAATCTCCACTTGAAGAATGGAATGTGTGATTAACACTGAATACACACCCAATATTATATTAGATAAAAATTGTGGGCATATTCCTTTATTACTGAGAAGCTTTGTACAAATATAAGCACGGATTGATAAGATTAATCTTCATGTGCCCCACCTTAACTTTGCAAAAATATGAAGAAATAAAAAAGGTGAAAACCCGCACTCAGCTCGAACATTTTCCCAATTCCACTAAGAAATTCTTGTTTTGTTTTTTTAAGTAAATCAGCATGCGAATGACTGATGGATCAAACTTTATAGACTGCTGCTTGTGCAACTTAAAAACTCCATGTTGTAACACAAAATACAACTAATTTTTTACTCATTTTAAATCACCTGGAACACATTTTTATTTTATAAACATTTGTAGTTGTGACATAAAAAAAAAATGCACGGTAATATAACCAGCCTTCTGTGTTTTGTTGAGCTGGTAAATCAGGACTATGCAACATTACATAAGCAGACAATGGGAGCTGGTATTTGCTGTGATGATAACCCTAGCTCAAACCTGCCTGGCTGTTTTTACCTCCTTCCTTCAATCTCTCCTTCCATATCTTTTCCTCCCTTCTGTCCGTTTTGTCTGAGGAACTCAGGAAAGAGAGGCCTGTTGTGTGTATTATCATCATTCCACACCTGTCTCTTCCTGCACTGCCACACATTCAGTGTGTTGTTCCAGCTAAAGTTCCGAGATAAGAAGACCTCCTGAGTTTTTTGGGTTTTTTTCGTCAGGAGTGAGTCATCTGTGCTTAGCTTGGTGATCCCTGTCAGCTGGCAAATGTCTGGCACTGAGGGGCAGAAGAAACTGGGAGACATTTCACCATTTTAGTTTGCTCGTTCTTATCTTCTTCCACATCTTCGTCCTCTGAACTCTCCTCACTTTCAGAGTGGTGGTTGCCATTTGTTTTGGTGCTCTCTCCGTTTGCTATCCTCCCGCCACATGTGGAGGCTTTCTTGGTAGCGCTGACCTCATCGTCCTCCTCCTCCTCAACAGGACAATTTGGATCTTCATCTTGTCCGCTATCGCTGTCATCCCCAGCATCTTGCCTCTCCTCACCACTGCCCTTTCCTTTCTCCTTGTCAATCATCAGGAAAGGTTGGCTCTGTGCCAATGGAGTGGTGTCCATTTCTTCATCTTGGCCCATGCTAGACAGATATAACAACATGGATTAGACTCAGAGACTGCAAAACAGCAGTTTTCTTCAAACAGCATCTATCATGTAACTACATACATACTGTAAGGTTACGCTCCAGAGATATGTAGTGAATTATGACAAAAGAAACCATGGGAACTGTTTCCACGCATCATTTGCAGTCTGTCATTTCAAAGCTTTATTCAGAAAAGGAAAAATGTGGCAGCATGCCTCATTCAAGGCTGAGAATGCTGCTCAGTAGCAAACAACACAATCTCTTCATCTTCCAGCATGTTTGACTGACGGATTGTGAGACAATGTCTTTTGTTACACAGAAGAAACGACAGAGCAGGGTCTTAGATGAGTTCATGAGTTCCAGTCTGTGACCTGAGAGCTTGAATAAATAGTCTGAGACTCTCACCTGGACGGTGCTCCGGCCACTCTCATCTTCTGCCACATATAGTTCAGGAACATGGACGCCTGCAGCAAATGTCCAATCCTCTGCATGTGTCTCTCTGTGGGAGATAGAAGAGGAATCAGTCATTTCAGTCAAAATCAGATTCATGACCAGGAAATAATGTGAAGGGTAACAGGAAACTATGGTATATATCTTCACAATAAGGTCATTTTTCCATCCACTTTGCCTATGCAAAACAATAACTATCATGTTTATGTTAACACTGTCCCACAGAAAAAAAGAGGAAAGGAGACACTCTTCTAACAGTAGTTAAACCAGTTCTAGTGATGACACTTAAATGTCCTGTTTCTCCAGTTTACCACGTTTAAGTCAAATGTGAGTCATGTTAAGTCACCCTGTGGAACATGGGTATGCACTCATGCAAAAGAATGTGTGCCCACAACATGAGACACACCTATCTTTGGAACAGAGGTAAAAATAAAACCTCAGGCCCCAGAGATTATTCCTCATTTTCTTTGTAGGAAGGTCTTTAATTGCAGTAGCACATGTAAAAGATATCTTAAAACCTGTTTGTCTCCATTACGTCACCATTAAACCAGGTTTCACAGTTCACTTATACTGCTTCTATGGCACTTGTTCAACTTTCCTTATGTCAACTATTCTAATGGTGTCGTTCTCATTAAGCCCTTGGACCCAGTGGCAATCCCAGTTATTCTGTATATCAAGTGTATTTTGTGTATGTTTCTATTTCGCTATACTGAATCATTCAATGTCTAAGGCTGGGAGATTTGTTGGAGGTTTGTTTTCATATACAGATCTGCAATGTGGGTATTTTACAATAATTTGACCGAGATTAAAGCTCCATAAATACACTTCATTGTCTCCTCTGCCCAACGCTTTTTGGCTGACTTAGACACACACACACACACACACACACACACACACACACACGGCCTTCACTGACCTGTATATGGGATGAGCCCCTCCAGGTGTGTTCGGGCGCCCTGGTACTGCAGCAGCTCCTCAGGCGGCAGGTGTGTGAGGAGCACCTGGAGGACAGCCTGGGCATCCAGACAGTTTCTAGCATTGGTGTTCCACACCACACAGTAGCGCAGGAGTGACTCTGAGTGGGAGTGAAGCCATTACCGGGTAGAGAGTGGGACAGCAGCCAGAGATGAAGGAAAAAAAAAAAAAAAGAGAGAGACAGGGCTTTATTACTTTCTCCGCTGACAGTCTTTTTATGGCTTTTTAACTGTGTCCCTACTCCACATCCTTTTATTTGAAGACCAGTCCCATTTCGAAGGCTCCTTCAAATGGCCCAACCTATCCCAAGATTCATTGTGTGCTGGAAATGAAAATAATATGGCAGCAAACAACACCGACAGAGAGCCTGAGGATTACACTTTCAAATGTATTGGGTTTCAGCTCAGTCCAACACCTTACAACAGAGTTCAGACAGCCTGCACATTTTCACCTTATTTTTCTTGTTGTTGCGTGTGATGATTAAAACGGTTTAAGGACATCGGCGACCTGTTACCTTTCTGATCCAGTCGAAGTTTCAGCAGTGTCTTCTCCAACAACTCGCGGCTGTCCTCCCCCTGACGGATCGCTAAGAGCAACAGAGACCAACACGTCAGGCAACATGACATTGTCCATTTGTTTATGCTACGTTTGTTGTAGCGACTGAACAAATTGTCCTCACGTGAACATCATCATTTCACTAATTCACAGATGATATGTGCTGTGGTACTACAGACATATACATGTCTGTTTACACCTTCAGCTTTTCCTCACTTATAGATGAAACATTGTGAATAGGTGTGTCGTTCCTAAGTTTATAAGTCTCATCATATCAGGGGCCACTGAAACACCTCCCTTTCAATGTAAACATCTCCCCAAACGTTAGCATCTACTGCACTACTGCAGTACCACAGTGGGGTTAAATCATTTATGAAGACACTATGTGTATTTTATGTCTTATCAAAATCATAGTCGTGTGGAAACTAATATCAACACATAACCAGATTCTCTGCTTTGAAATTGTTCTGGGCAAACCCGGGTTTGGTTAAATCTATTCTCTTGTCAGAGTAAGCATTACTAGACGCGATCAATATAACTTTGCATAATACTGCCAAACCTACAATGCATCTGCCTTTTATTTGACACATATGACATGTGCATGCTGATCCACCGCCTGTAATACTGCACTTGAATGAGGCCCTACACCTATGACCTACTAACTGACGAGAGATTATTTCCATTCTTGAATAAGTTATGTAGATGAGAGAATCTGAAATAATATTGGGACATTTAATTTAAAGACTATAGTAAGATGTTCTGTTGGCTACTATAAAACAACTTTTACTTTGCAGTAGCACCATGTCGGCTTTAATGTAAGTACAAACAAAAAGTTCACAACAGTACAAACATTATAAACCATCTGTGATTTGTCCCAGAATCCTCTTTGTTTTGACCTGTAATTGTGCTCCCAAAGCACAGAAGGATATGACAGCTATTCAGCATGAGATTAACAAAATGTCACTGCGCTCAATTGTTTTGAAAACAGATTATTTTTCCTCTTGTGACAAGGGCAGTGGTTGCTTTTTGAGCCCATGGAGCATGACAGTGCGGTATCAGGTGGTGTGGTGTGTATGTATGAGTGCTCTGATGACTGAACTAAAGTGAGCAGTAAGAGATGACACGCCCTGTCAAGATCACAACAGCTGAAAAGACAAAGGACAGAGATGGATAGCCTGCATGAGGTGCTCCAAAATATATTTTGGATTGAAAGCGCTGTATAAGCACACAATCAGTCAGGTTAGAGACAGTGAAATACTGATTGACTAAAGACTGAAAGGATAAAAAAATACCTTTGATCACAGTGAGCACAGTGTGAGGCTGGTCCAGTGATATGGCCAGACCCAGGGCCTTGAGATACTTCTTCTCATGGAGCAGGTTGGACAACTCTTGCTTCCTTCAGACACAATAAACACATGGTCATACACGGGCAGCCAACATTTTGAAAAAAAAAAAAAAAGGGGAAAAAAAAAAAAAAAAAAAGAGAAAAGAAATTTCTCAATGATGGTTTACACATGAATTCACATTAACTGTCTACAACTTTCCCACAAAATACACCAAGTCAAATGTACACACATTTTTGTTTGACTATGTCAGTGGTTCTCAGTTTGATGTTACACACAACAGTCATGCCCATTAACTTAACCCTAAAAACAAATACACCAGATGGTTGAAAGTCAGAGTTAATGGTTATTGAAGGAAGTTAATGTCATAAAAGTATTGGTTGTTCTTTTTATTTTTTAGAAAAGGTGAAAACAAAAGAAACAAACTTTGAGATGCTGTTACCTCACAAACAAGAAATCTG